TACATGGCGTACAAAAAACATCACCGTCTATTATCATAATATCCTCATTACAGAGTCTCCATGGCAACGGCCTCCTCTCAAATCCTGTTACCAGAAATGAACCTGAATGATACCTTTGATACTTTTGCTTTGGACTTCACGAGGGAGAAAAAAATGCTAGAAAGCTTGGATTACCTCACAGGTGAGTGTGGTCTCATACTGCCAGACAAGAGGTGTCACAGTAGCTGCTGGATAGTGTTTCACTTTGTAATTCTTGAAATGAAATTATTTTGCTGGACATGTTTGATCCATGCAATTAAAAAAAATCTTTTATTCTGTAATTAGGGATGCACTGATAAACTGACCTTTTTTAGGCCGAATACAAATACCTGGCCTTTGGGGGTTTGGCTGATACCCAGTACTGATTCCATACCAATCTTAAATTAATAATCCAAAACAAAACAAATAAATACGTATAAATGTTTTTAATAATTGTCGATTCAAATAATTTTATCTTGCGATTTTTGTCTATATTTAACATCCCATATTAGTATCATCATTTTTCCACCTCTGCCTAAAATTATAGATTCATACAATTAAAAGCCTGCGGCAGGGATGAAAGCAGGACCTTTACATTACAACTACGTGTGTTTTAGCAAGAGAAATAAAAAAGGCCACTTTTCTACTGAGTGAAATGGGTTTGATTGTTTGTGCTCTGCACCCGTTATGCACCATCATTTATCCCTGCATGGGGGGTGAACGCTAGAACTATACGCTAGTTTAATTACACTTGTCAGTATAACACAGTACGAATGGATAGGCTCATCAAAACGGGAGTTTTTTCATGTTGTGTAGAGAATAGAATCCATTCAGCTTTCTCACAAATACATTTGTCTTTTTTTTGTGATTTTGCAGCACCAAATCCACCCACAATCCGTGAGGAATTATGTACAGCTTCATACGACACAATCACGGTTCACTGGACATCAGATGATGAATTCTCTGTTGTATCATATGAACTTCAGTACGCCATCTTCACTAGCCAATCCAATGTTGTCAGTAAGTCTACTTTTATATTGTCTAGAATATTTGGAGTCAGTCTGGATTTGCATCAAGATACGCATCATAAGCTCAATATTATCTCGCTGTTAAAATGAGCAGTGGACTGTTGAATTGATTGCTCTAACAAGGTCATCAGCAATGTATTCTCATCTGCATCAGTGCTCAAGCACACTTGGATGAGTTGCAAACGGACTACATTTGATGAGTCAAAAACAGTAGATTATAAGACTGTATAAAATTGCACTGCAGTGTTGCATTGAATGAGGCTCTAACTCAATATTTAGGGGATTTTCCGATTGGTTTGTTCTTTGTCAGTGACCCTCTGTGTGTCTGGGCTGCAGGTCTGTGCAACTCTGCTGACAGCTGGATGATTGTACCAAACATCAAGCAGAATTGCTACACTGTCCACGGGCTCCAGTGTGGCACCAAGTACATTTTCATTGTGAGGGCCATAAACCAGGCTGGACACCGCAGCAGTGAACCAGGGAAACTCAAGACCAACAGTATGTCAAGAGAGAATCCCAATGATAGCTCATGAGAATTTGAATGCATAGAAAGTAGCTTTGCTCCTCCTTTCTTCAAGGTCAACCATTCAAGTTGGACCCAAAGTCAGCTCACCGGAAGCTGAGGGTGTCCCACGACAACCTGACGGTGGAGAGGGACGAGACGTCCTCCAAGAAGAACCACAGTCAGGACCGCTTCACCAGCCACAGCAGCTACGGTGTCACAGGGAACGTCTACATCGACAGCGGCCGCCATTACTGGGAAGCTCTGATTGGAGGAAGCTCATGGTGAAATCATTTACTCGTTTACAGACACTTTGTACTGACATTGGTCCTCTGGCCTTAGCTGTTGTTTGTGGTTTTGAGTGAAATATCTTGACAACTAATCTAAGGAAAATTGTGAAAATGGACATGAATAATGTAATGAAGTAGGACAGTCTTTCAACTTTAGAGTCAAAATCTACCAATATATCTACAAAAATAATAATACTATCATCAGTCTCTGCTTTTTTATGTTAATTAGTTACTATATAGCTACTATGCCAACACACCAAACTAAGACGAAGTAAGTATTATTTCTGCTCCACAGCAGCATGCTAACAATGCTGTTGTGAGCCTGATGCAGGCATGCATTGAGCTCAAAGCGCTGCTGTGCAGAAGCGCAGCCTCACAGAACCCCAAGCATATTTTATTGATAACAGGTTGGGTTCCGATGCTGGAAATGTTTAGGTAATTTATGACCTTTTTTTTTTTTTTTTTCTTCTGTTTGGGCATGCAGGTTCGCAGTGGGCATTGCATACAAGTCAGCGCCAAAACATGAGTGGGTTGGCAAAAACTCTGCCTCCTGGGTTCTGTCTCGATGCAACAACTCGTGGGTGGTGCGTCACAACAGCAAGGAGATGCCCATCGAGCCCTCACCCCACCTGCGTCGTCTTGGAGTGCTGTTGGACTATGACGCCGGATCGCTGTCCTTCTACGACGCCGTTGCCGCTCAGCACTTGCACACATTCGAAATCAACTTCGCTCAGCCAGTGTGCCCGGTGTTCAATGTGTGGAACAGGTGTTTGACAGTTCTTACCGGACTGCCCATACCAGATCACTTGGAGGGCACAGACTACAACAACTGACCAAACCGCTTCTTTGTGTACCCAAAAACCAACCAGACACATGTTGACAAACAAGGACAAAAAAAGTCAAATAGCCTGGCTGAACATTCCCAGCCAAGCCTGCGTTCAAATTAATAGAAAATCACCCGTAGATGTATTTCTTTGCACATGTATGTACATTACGCTGTTGGATGGTTCTAAGGGGTTGCTTACAGTTTGTAATTCATTTTCACATAGGCAGCAGATTGTTTTTATTTCAGATCTAGTTTCTAACTTGTTGTTCCATTCCTGTTTGATTATGAATCTGAAAGTGGCAAATGGACTCTGTCTTTAAAGATTCTGTAGGGTTTGTATTATTGGCTATTTTCAATGGAACAATTTTGAAAGATTTTTTGAAATTATAGCACTTTGAGGAGTTGTCACTATAACATACTAAGCCACTTGTATCATAATGCAAATGTTTCTTCATCATTCTCCCATAAGAAAAAGCACTAAATAGATCAGACAAAGTTTTCGCCCAAAGTGAAATCAGTCAATTAAGTCATTTTTAAATATTTATTATCTGTAAATGTGTGCAGTTTATCATTATGGGATCATTCCACCCGACATTCCCATTTAAGATTGCCTTTGACAAGCTGTAATAAAATTGACTTCATTTGAATTTCTCTGTAATTTGTCCTGATTTTACGACACGGTGCTTGCTAAACATCTGTCTTGGTATGATGATAATTTCATGCCGTACATTGTTTACACTCATTTACCCGTGCTCTCTGATTAAAGCATGAACAGGCTCTCCCACAGTGAAGAGAAAACAACAGCACCATCTTTGACGAAAGTGTCAGTCTTGCTTTTACGGGACTCCCTCCAACCCACACTGAGCAAAAATATAACTTTTGACAAGATTAACTCTGACATCTCTTTTTGTTCTGGAGTAACATGGCTTGAACTCTACAGCATCCCCTTTCAACTAAAGTAGACAGGAGCAAAAAAAGAAAAGATTCTGAACTCTGTGTGACCTCCTTATGAGACACCCGGCAGACGGAGCTTTAATGAATGAACACAACCTCCACCATGACATGCCATTGGGATTTGGAAATGTATATACTTATTTTTTGTGAAGAAATACTGGAAGTTGTTTGTCTAATCGCAGTGGATCACTACGTAGGTCTGGTTTTGACAACAGTTAGACCTCTAAATTAAGCTTTAAACAAAACATTCTTAACAACAAACATGACAATAAAGTGTGTATAAATGTACATTTTACATTATTTGATTAAAAAAGTCATTTAATCACACATTATTGTAAAAAAAACGGGTTAATTACATTTTTACATACCGAGCATATTGTGAAATGAAAATTTCAATCTAAACATTTTTTCCAAAACAATGAGCTTTTGATTGAGGGGTGTTTCCTATGATTCAATCACTGCCAGTATTAAAATAAATGAACTGTAAACATATTTGTTCTATGGCTGCTTTCAATTGTAAGATAGAAAAAGACATAGAATATTCGAAAAAAAACAACACAATTTTTGTTCGCACATACGGACAGCATTGTAGAGTTAACGCTAAATTAATGTTTTATGTTTGGGATAAGACAACTTGTCTCTGTCCGACTACAACACGCAATAGGCAAAGCTTCACTCTGAATGAGCATCTAAATAAATTAGTTTGTGGATATGATGAACAAGAATTGGAAATCTCATTTTCAAATATTAAACATGTGCCCCGGGGCACCATCTGCTGGATTTGTGTTTTCGGTGATAAATGTCTTGTGTCTTGTGGTGTTAGCTTTGTAATAATAATAGTGTGTAGAAGGCGGTAAAAGCGATAGGAGAGATTACATCGTGATCCATCCATGCAGCACACAGGGGAACTGGATTGTGTGCTCCTGGTCCTTGGTGCGAAGCAAAAAGTACAAATGATGCAGCGTTCAGTGTCATCCAGGGGAGAGATCTAAATTTCACTGATAATATAGAATAATCAAAACTTGTTCAGGAACAATCAAAGTTAGACTACTGTGAAGTGACTATCGTATACATAGTCTTATAAGGTATAATAAAAAACAAACATTTTATTTCAACATTCTCTGCTTTTTAACCTGCTAACATTTAAATGGAATGACTATTTTGCACGTCGCACTGATAATGTGTGTATGTAATAATTAAAATTGCAAAAAAAAGGAAAAAATTACACTAAGCTTAATTTGAATCCAACGTAAAAATGAAATTAAACAAATTACCAAAACAGATGTTGATATCAGATGTGTAAACTGAACTATTTTTGAACTTCACTAACTGCGTGTGACAGCCACTTCCTCAAGCCCCGCCCACACTCCCGGAACAGGAAGTACCGGTGCTTTAGCTGCTGACGTTGTTGTACAAAGTGACGATGGCGTCCACAGATCAGTCCCTCCTGGATCTAACCGATAAAGATACCCGGGAGAAACTGTCGTTCTGGGATCGCCGCACCGACGCCATGGCTCCCCTTACTGACAAACAAATGGACGCTGTCCTGGAGATCCGAGCCGCAGCCGAAACGCTCTCTGTCCCGTCGGAGGTGAGATGTGGCCGCGGACACAGCTAGCATGCTAACAGGGATGCTAACTTACTTTCTCAACGTCAGTGACACGAGCTAACCTATAAATGCCTCTCCCACGTCCAAACCGTCGTTTCGAAGTTGACCCATTGCCGGATGTTAGCTTGCGGGCTAACGAGCATTAAAGAGCCCCGGCATGTTTGTTTTTCCAGCTGCCCATTGAGGACCTGTGCAGCCTTTCGTCGCGGTCCTTGCAGTCTCCCTTCTTAGCGACTGTGCCCGCGTCGACAGAGGACGTCCTACTCAAGGGCTTCCAGATGCTTGAGATGGGGAACGAACGGATAGAAACCGCACAACAGGTGACTTGTCTCTGTCCGGAGTCAGCGGGGCTGCAGCCCAGTGTGACCTTACTGTGCTTCTTCTATCGCTATAAGCTGCATGGTGTTCATGACGTGCCAACCTGTGTTGCAGTTTTTCGCCTGGTTTGCCGCTTTGCAGGCCAACATGGACCAGGATGAGAGCTCAAAATACAGGTACGCGTTGGCCGTTTGGCTGTTTGCAGGAGGGAAGGCGAAGGGTGACCTTTTGTTTATCAGAAACAAGCTACTTTGATGACGTCAGACAGTAGTATTGCAGTAGATGTATGTGTGTCATGACGAGTAAACGTTACGTACGTGATCACACACCTGAAAACCGCAGGCGGTGTAGTACTTCTGAGCAACTTTGTTCCTGGGCTACTTCTATATGGGCTGAACTTTTCCTGCTGTATATGTGGACACACACACATACACACACACACACACACACACATCAGTAAGCTCTGGGTGGCGTCGCTGCGTCATTCTGCCTTCGGTTGAGCACAGAGGTGATGTATCTGCTTTCCCCGTAGGAAAACCAGAGATGATCTGAACTGCTACCAGGAACAATGCGACGCCATCCTGAAGGATGTCAGCACTGCTCTCGAGCACTTGGACTCCCTTCAGAAGCAGTATCTGTTTGTGTCCAATAAGACCGGCACCTTACACGAGGCCTGCGAGCAGCTCTTAAAAGAACAGGTAGGCTTCCCTCTGTTCTCTCCCTCTATTAACTCAGGCCACATACCATCAATCACTCACACTTAATCAATATTTATATTGTCACTCGGTGTATTTTTCCTATAGTCCAGGCCCGAAGCCCAGAAACCACTAAATTAGCTGCTGGGTGAAGTATTCACCATCTGTCCATCTAGTTCAGACCAGTGGGACATAAATAAAAGCTTTTTTTTTAAATCGTAAGTGTACGTTCTGTCACATATTTCATACCTTGATGGCGCTGCTTTTTCATTGCTTTCTCTCACGCAGTAAGCTGCTACTTATGTTCACGAATAGATCGGTCCATTCATAGAACTTGTGCTGAATTGAACTTGAACTGAAATTAAACTGCCATGTTGAATCATGTCAGCTGTGCTTTTTTCCTCTTTCTCTCTGCAGTCGGAGCTCGTTGACCTTGCAGAGAGCATAGAGCAGAAACTGTCATATTTTAATGAGTTAGAAAACATAAACACGGTAGGTTTTTTTTTTTTTGTCTTCCGGTTGATGGCTAAATCTAAGCTTTCTAGATTAAGTGAATGTTCATTGCGGATTAAATATTAAATGTAACCTAAAAACCGCAGTTATTTCTCAGATTAAAAAACATCATACTGACGAATTTGGACATCAGCTACATTCCCTCTAGTGATTTTTTTTTCTAAATAGTTTCATAAAATGTACTTATACCATTTTGTTTCTATCCCTTTAAACATCCAAGTTAAATTTGTAAAAATGCTTTTTGTAATAGATTTGATTTCAGCTTTGTTTTAAATAGCAAACATAAAATGATCTAGAAGGCCATAGTTTGAATGACTTTTTACGAAATGTTTTTCTTTGTGTTTCAGAAACTGAACTCGCCCACCTTGTCTGTAAATAGTGAAGGCTTTATACCAATGCTGTCAAAATTGGATGATTGCATTGAATATGTTTCGTCTCATGTAAGTAGCTCACACTACTACAAATTTCGATTCCTTTTTGTTCAGACCTCATTCAATGGCCAGCAATGGAATAATCAAACCCTAAATGATTTAATGCCTTCTGTGTGATTAATGCGTATTTATATAATGTTGAACTGGTAAAGCCGAATGCTTTCTGCATTGCAGTTAAGGACATGTGAACGCAACTGAAGCCGTCTCAACACTAAGCTAATCTTGTTCATTTGCAGCCCAATTTCAAGGACTATCCAGTTTATTTGGCCAAGTTCAAACAGTGTCTTTCTAGAGCAATGCACTTCATGAAGATCCACATTGTTAACACCATGCAGCATCTCACCAGCCAGCTGACCAAACGGGTAAGAACCAGCGCCACTTCCTCCTGACACAAAGCCAGCGACGGTAAAAGGAGGCGACCATCCTGAACTGGATGTGTGCCCGGTCCAATATCGAAAACTCATGGTTCTGTCTCCAACAGGATCCAATGGGCTTGACCAACGCAGACAATGCCTTTACCCTGTACTATGTCAAGTACAGAGCAGCCGCACCTAAAGTTAGAGTGAGTATACGTTTTTTTTTTTTAATTACCCACTGAAATTATACTTTGATCACTTTCTGTATTAAAAGCGATATTCATTATTCTTTCAGTCACTGATTGAACAGATCGAACAGCGAGCGGAGAAGGTTCCTGAGTGAGTTAAAGTAGCGGTATTGCTCTATTTTTCTTTGTTCTTTTTACACTAAATAAACTCCTCTCTCCTCCTATTAATGTGAGCAGATACCATCAGCTGCTGGATGATATCCATCAGTGCTACCTTGACCAGAGAGAGCTGCTCCTCAGTCCCAGCATCACATCCACCATTACTGACCTGACCAAACAAAACAGCAAAGACCACTGTGCTCTGGTAAGGCGCCGGCTTGTTTGGAGCAGAGCTGCCCTTTTGGAAATAAGATGACATTTGAGCTTAAAGAGCTCTGGGATACTTTCTGCAGTGTTGCTGCAGACTCAAAGCTGTGCACGCGTTTCTGCACAGCGTGCACCCACAGCCTTTGTTCTCCAGTCAATTACCGAGTTGTTTGTGTACTCCGTCAGCCCTCCTCTATAAAGCATTTACTGTTGCGCATTATTCCCCGACTGTTTAAAAATGCAGCCTACCTAAAGGTTGGCCCAATAATTCACAGTGAAAGATTTTTGATACTTCAGAAATAGTTTTGGCAGCCGGACGGACGACGTCTTTTGACGACCGTTGTGGCATTTAGAAAACACTTCACTAATTGGCTTGATGGGGATGCTGCACTTAAAGGTCAGGATTTCATACAACAAACATCATAACGGCGGCGCCACCTGTCTGAAATTTCCCTTTTTAATGAAACTTGAAAGGTTATGCATCTTGTTAATGATCGCCGGAATGGGCGCCTGCATCGTTTATGTGGGCGGATGCATTTGCCTGTTTGAAGTGGCGGCAAAGCCAAGCGTTAGTAGTCGTTCATTCCGTGTGTTTGTACAGGTTCGCAGTGGCTGCGCGTTCATGGTCCACGTCTGCCAGGACGAACACCAACTGTACAACGAGTTCTTCTCAAAGCCCACGCCCAAACTAGAGTGAGTAGCTCCGTGGTCTCAATGCGCAAGTGCAGGAGGGATGTGTTTATTTAAGGCGTGACACGAACCCGTGTCGAATTCGGCATAATGTGATAACCGCTTGATATGCCGATTTATCACGGCATGTTTGCACCATTATTTTTAGACTTAGATTAGATTACTTCTTAAATTCAAAGCCTTAATTGAGCCGAAAGTGTCATTTTCGACGGCTCTCAGGTGTGCAAAGAAATGAAATGGTGTTTCATTTTTGACAGCGAGCTGCTAGAGAAGTTATGTTTGTCCCTGTATGACGTCCTGCGGCCTCTAATCATCCACGTCGTCCACCTGGAAACCTTGTCGGAGCTGTGCGGTATCCTGAAGAATGAGATGCTGGAAGACCACGTTCACAACAACGGTAGGTCGGAGCTCGAAGCGTCTCGCGCCTCACGTTTAGAGTTTTACGTGTGCATTCACTGAGATGCAGCCGTGCCGCAGTTTGGGGATTGATGTCGGGCCGTGTAGTTTGCACACACAGCGGCTTTTGATGTTGCGGCTTTTTGAACAAAAATAATTTGGGATCACTGAATATGTAGAACACGTACAAAAACCAAAGTGTACCAAGTCCCAATTGGATGTTACCACTCTCAAAGAAAAAGTCTGATGCATATCCCCCGGGGGAAAAGGAACTACACCAAACAAGATAGCACATGCTAATTAGTGAGCTTTATAGGTGCTGGAAGGCACATGTTGTTCCTTTTTGAAGGAGACTTCCTCCTGTAGCACAATGGCCTTTTCTCTTCCATATCTCATTCACACTATCCACTATCTTATCATCTAGACTTGAGACCAGATGGGATTGAAGATCGCATTGTGAGTTTGATTTAGGTTTGGCTGTAAACTGACCTTTTGAGCTCTTTTTCATTGTTTCATTTAGCCTCTCAGTTGGGGGCCTTTGATACAGTGGTGAAGCAGATGCTGGAGGATGTCCAGGAGAGGCTGGTTTACAGGACCCACATTTACATACACACCGATATCATAGGCTACAACCCGGCTCCGGGGGATCTGGCCTATCCTGAGAAACTCGAGATGATGGAGGTGAGCCTCGTGACCCGAAAAGGAATGTTGTTTCGTCCTTGGTAACATATTCAGAGAGAAAAAAACAACTATTAACTAAGTAATTGTAGTCTTTTTATTTTTTGTTCTACCGGGTTACAGTTATTTACAGCCAGAACACAATCTTTTTACATCCTAATGTTTTGACCATTTTTAGATTCATTGTAATGTGAAAAACTGTCGGGGTCCAGCCTCAATTATCTGAATGTTTCAGGTTGAATTAAAGTCGTTCTTCGCTTTGCAAGGTCTTCTCGCCATTGAATGTCTGTCCATGTCGTTAAATACGACTTTGTGTCTAGACTAATGTTTCCCAGCTCTTAAATGTGATTTTATGTACCTTCTGGTTTACTTGTATTATTGGATGTCGACGTTTTATTTAAGGAAAGCAAAAAAGTGACCTTCCAACATGTGAGACTTTCTACCTAGAGGTCTTTGAAAGTTATAATTTGTCTCGGTCTTTGGGCTTGGGAGCATTTGTGCATGCTATTGAATACCTCTTGCGTTGTATTTGAAAATGTCATCTTCCATCCATCTGCCTTTTGTTGAAGCAAATCGAAAAAGAGAAAGTCAGCTCCTTCTATCTTCTGACTCTTACCAATAGAGAATTGCTCAGAGCTTGAAGGAGGAGCAGATGAAGCAGATGTCGCAGGAGTCCATGTTTTCCGATGTCCAGCTGGAGAATCCTGATGGGAGAAGAAACAGTAATGCTGGTCCGTTTTCAGTTGGAACGCTTTTTAAAAATGTTTTTATATTTATACCTGCACACATACAGACACAACTTTTGGTCTATTTGTTGCCTGATACCTTTTTCTTCTTCTTTGTACAACTACTACAGGCAACGTAGAAGCCTCCCGCCTCCAGACATCCATCTCTCCTGCTGATTTGCACGGCATGTGGTACCCTACTGTCAGACGAACGCTGGTTTGTCTGTCCAAGCTCTACAGATGTATAGATGTGAGTGTCCAGTGTTTGTTTCATTTATAGTCCCCTATCCTTAAATATTGCAAGATGCGTGTCACTTGTTTTACTTACTGTGAATGGATCTTTTTCCAGAGAGCAGTCTTCCAGGGTTTATCTCAAGAAGCCTTATCTGCCTGCATCCAGTCCCTACTCAAAGCCTCCGATATCATCCTTAAAAACAAGGTTGGCACGAGTATTACTTTACATTTTTACCAAACTCTTGGTGAAAAATATGATTGTATAACAAATGAGCCTTCTTTCGACATATAAAAAGATCAGTTCCCTCAAAGATTTGACGTGCTCTGTTATTCAAAACCCTTCCTGCTTCCCGGATTTCTAACCAAAGCAGCTGGGGTGTCATTGAAAGTTTATTTTAATGGGTGCTTTATTATGCGCTACAGAGTGTTCAGCAGACCATCCTTTATTTATGGGCTCCTCTCACCTTCAAATTCTCTGTCTGTCTGCGCTAACTGGCCCGTTTCAACCTAGCGCTTTAAATTAAAGCAGCTACATCAATCTCAGAGGACGTGTTCCCGCCTCCCGTGTGTTGATGTCTTCTTCCAATGTTTTAGCGAATGCAATATACGGCATCAGCTGCCTTTTTTGGTGTCGGTTATATCCCTTGCCAGCTATGATTAATCAGCAGTGATCAATTAGATGTGTTTTGTTATCGTCTTAAAGCGTTTGCTTCTTTATGTTCTCTGCAGCTTGGATAGTCAGCAGATGCCCTTTTGTGTTGGCGGCCTGCAGTGTGCATTTAACAGTGTGCTATCACTTTCTGCAGACGCAAATAGACGGGCAACTTTTCCTGATCAAGCACCTGCTGATAGTGCGTGAACAGATTGCCCCATTTCACACCGATTTTTCCATCAAGGAAATCTCACTGGATCTGAAGAAAACGCGAGGTGAGATAATTAAAGGTGGAGGGAACATTGGTGTTCAGCTCCATAAAGCCAGTCATTACATTCTCCTGCTCATTAAGCAACTTCTGCCTATCGCATGCACCGGTGGCAACAATTAATGTGGAAATTACAGTGTAATCCAACACCATCATGTACATTAGCCAACGGTTCACGGGGCAGATTTGCTCCTCCTTATTACCTTCATCTCAGTCAAGGTCATTATACACTTGTGGCACTAGAGGGCACTCTAATTCTACACTAGTCCTAATCTCTGCTCTGTGTGAAGATGCTGCCTTCAAAATCCTGAACCCTAAGGCTGTTCCCAAATTCTTCCGACTCAACAGTCACAACGCCATACTCGAATTCCTCTTGGAGGTAGTGTTTTTTTTTCTTTCTTCTATTAAACCTTCCGTGCACTTTATGTGCTTTGATAGCTCCCTGTCTCAGATAAACACTACTTGATCGTGCTAAACTCTTGGTCTGCGTGGCCCCCCCAGGGAACACCCGAGATAAAGGAGCACTACATCGACTCAAAGAAGGACGTGGACCGGCACCTGAAGTTCAGTTGTGAGCAGTTCATCCAGCAGCAGACTCAGATCTTCGTGGGGAACCTTGAGGAGTTTCTCACCAAGGTAACTGCGAAGGCGGCCTTTGCCTCAGGTATCGATGGCTCCTCCTGACCTTCATTTTTTTGCCTTCAAAAACATTTGCTCGTTCACTGATCGCCGAAGTACGTTACCTACAGCTGAAGATAAAATGGCCGTTTTTCATCGTGTGTGTGTGACCGACTTGCCATCACAGTCCCTCGTGCATTGGCTTACAGCAACGCGCCCATCAAGACTGTCATTTTTCGCACTCAGGTTGCGGCTCTTAAAACTATGGCTATCCAGGGTGGTCCCACCTACAGTCTGTCTCAGCAACCTTGGGCACAGCCGGGTAAGATGAGTCTCAGGAAACACCCACTGGCATCACGCTGCAATTCATCAACCTCCTAAAGCCCATTTTCTTTCCCCTGCTTGTCCCCTTTTTCTGTTTTCAGTGAAGATCAACGATATAGTGACGACGACCTACCGCGTGATGAAGAGCAAGCTGCCAGGCACTTTACAGAGCATGTCCTTGTACCTCGCCAATAGAGACACGGAGTTCATCCTTTTCAAGCCTGTCCGGGTGGGTGGCGGAAGCTCTAGGTTATAGCATGTGCTGCATGAGTATTTCTTTACAAGTCCTTGTTGAAGCTCTAATAATTATTTCATGAAGTATTTAAAAAGCAGTGATTCTGTGTGTTTGCTCTCAAAAGTCAAATCAGTAATTTTCTAAAATGATGGATATTAAATGTATCATTGTAAAGTATATTTATGTTGGGGTTTTTTTAGATATTGAAAGTGTAGGTTAGTGAGGCATGTGAACAAACCTCTCACAGCATCAGAAAAACACCCATGACCTTTATTAATTCATTAGCAAGGCCTGGTCACTGTACTAAAATACCCAATTTGGAGAGACTCCTAAAGTCTGCGGCTGAGTTGTTTCTTCAGCTAGATCCTGGTGATTGGAATCTAATAGAGAAATCTCTGTTCCGCCTGTTCATCCCAGTGCCAGGTGAAGCTGATTTGAGAGGGAAACTAAATTCTGTGGTTGACATGGAAACAAGATAGTGAGAGGACACGGGCTAGACGACGAAAATGTGGTATTCATTTCTCTCCAGCAGCCAGTAATAGGATGGCTTCCCCCCCCCCACAGAATAACATCCAGCAGGTATTCCAAAGACTGCATGCCTCGCTTCAGGAGGAGTACGGCGGAGAAGACCTTCAGATCATTGCATGTCCATCGATGGAGCAGGTACCCGACTCAGTTTTAATGATCACATCCAAAACAGCTGAGAGCGACTTTAAGCGCCGGATAACGTTACGTTACGCCTCTCTTTCAGATCAACCTGCTGCTGTCTGTGAATAAGTAATGTCCCAGCTTGGCGTGGCGGTGCTCGTGAAACGGCCTCTGGATTCCAATTGGATATTGCGACCAACCGACCGTGACCGGGAGCCGTGAGGCCGAGTGTGCGGGTTGACCGGAGCGGTGAGCTTGACCAGGAGCGCCGAGTTGGCGGTGGAAAAGAAATCCTGCACAGGACCAAAGATTGTCAAGTAGCTGCGAGCGTGCTGAGGTCCAGGTGGTCCTCTCCAATTCCATAAACAACTGGGAACGCCGAGGGTATGGTTTTGGTAACAGGGTTGACGTTTTTGTTTTCCTTGAACTGAAGGTGCGTTTGTTTCGGGTGGCTTTGTGATCACAGTTGCACTCAATGGGCAGTGGTGAGGGGAGGTACTATTAATGATGTGTAGCGGTGGGGGATTCATTCAGATACCGAGATTCCCTGGATTTCTTTTAGAATAAGAAAAAATGCTGCAACATAGTTCATCCCCCCATTTACAAAGATGTATGTGCATTTGGTGGTGGCCTGATGTGCTGCAGGACTCTTAACAGGTTTTCCCTTCTGATCATCACAAAAAAGTTTTTTTTTTTTTAAGATTGTTCTTTGGAATACTTGTTATTCTATTGCAAATATGTTAAAAATAAGTTGTTTTTTTTGTTTGTTTTTTGTTAAACCTTTTTTTCCTTTTTATACATACGTTGATTGCAGCTAATGGGCTTTTACTCTATTGACCACGGCAGTTTTGCGCTGTATGTTTCTGTATGGTCAGTGGCAACGTGACATTCGCTTCAGTGTATCCAATGTAAAATGATGTGTACAGGTGTACTATTTATGAACACACAATTAAAAACAAAGTGAGTGATGTTCTTTGATTTCTCTTAATGGAAATGCGCTTTATCATTTAATTTAACGACTAAGGGGTCACTTCACACAAATAAGAAACTGCTATTCAAGGACTTCATCTGGTTTCGGGGGTCTTCTTGGCGGGCGGTTTCACTGGCAGCTGCCGTCTTTCCATCTGTGACACGCGGCTCAGCTGGTCTTCGACCCTCCGCGGACTGACAGCCCTTCGGTTGGCGAGTATGGACCGGATGTTCTGGAGCAGGACACGGATCTCCGCGCTCTTCTCCTGCAGATATTCCTGGAACATTTCCGGCCCCGGCGGCGTTGAATCTCTGTCTTGATCCGGCTGTGACCGCAAGGAAATGTAAAGTGACGAAGAATCAGTGACGTGGGCCAAAATTGGCCTCTACTCATCTCCTCTTTTGTATTCCTGCCATTGTGATTATTGATGCCACAATAGCTCACTTTCAACTTCGACCCCACGTTGAGCCGCACGCTGCGTTTTCCGCGGGTGAAGGCGACGCGGATGTCCTCCTGGGAATGCACGTGGATGTGGAGGTTGGGGCTCAGTGGCAGGCGCAGGGCCCGGTAGGGTGGAGCGTGAACATGGTGCCGATTGTCCAGCCAGGCCCACTGCTTCTTCAGAGCTCCTGTGTCACTGCAGTAAGTGCCTCCCCATGGAGTCAGGTTTACCCTAACCCAGAGAAGCAGCATGTGAGAACTTGCCCTGTGGGGGGGCTTTTATTCTTTCCCAGAGATTTTTCTTTTAGCGATTAATCATACCAAATACAGCTACTGTCATGATAGCATGTGCCATGTCCTCTGGTGGTGAAGACGGCCTGAACGTGAGGCCGTAGATCGTCCGCCAGCACCACCACGCAGCACCAGTCGGCAGACGGAGAAGCGGTGAGAATGACGGCCAGCCTTCCCGATGGATAGCTTTTAAAATGCGATTAAGGCGAACAAATCACTTAAAAGCGTTAAAAGTATTGATGATTGATTCAGCCAAAGGATACCGCACCTGCCCGGTTCCGTCCGGAAATATCACAGTAAATGTTTGACCGTTGTCGTAATGTTCGACAAGTGGCCTTGTCCGCTGTTGAGCCAAACATAATTATTCATGTAGGCGTCTTCACTCTCCGCTGTATTCGAACAGGGCGTTGGACACATCCGGTGACTTCTACACATGGAGGTTTACCTTGTGTCTATATTTATTTCCATTGAAAGAGAAAATGTTCTCAAAATCCACGACATCTACGGGAGTCCAAGCGTCATCCAATAATCGATTGAGCCGGTTGGCCCATACTTGTTCGTCTCCTGAAATGTAGTTAAAAGGTGTTACAGCACGGAGGAACGAGAGGGAAAGATAAGTAGATTGAATCTGCATGAGAAATCTGCCAGCGATAAATGGTGCGTGTAACCTGCTTCAGGGGTCTGACAATCTGAGCTCCTTTCAAATTCCAAACCTTCCAACCTGTGGTGTATCGTGTGAAACGCAGCATCAGAGGTTCAACAGCAGAGGCATTTAATTTGAAAACCATTTAATGGAACAGAGCGATCCTGACCTTTGATCTTTTTGCATCGCTTGGTCTCTGTCAGTCACGGTTTCCTTCGTAATAACCGCTGCACCCTCCAGCACAATCTCTGATAGCTCCCGTGCCTTCTCACAGCAGAAAGAATTACACGGAGAGAGCGAGAGAGCGGAAAAAAAGAACAGTCAAAATGCTACCAAATCCTGAATAAATATTTTTTTAGTATTGCTCTTCTACTATGGAAGCCATGGAGAGCCAAATGCACAATCTAACATGACTAAATTGTTAAGATTGGAATAAAATACTTTAGCATTTTCTTGGAAAAACAAACCAGACAGTGAGAAAAATTATTCAATTTGCTCACTGAGACCAATTCTAATCAAATAATCAGGTTTTAATTGGATTAGTGAAGTGAGACAACAAAATACAAGACTAGCCAGGATCCCTTTTCCCCTGGTATTTTAGGAAGATGTAATGGTGAATGGAAGATGGATCCATTGAGTCATGATTACTTAACTTGAACCACTGATTGTACATCTGAATTGTAAAAATAAGAGCTAATGGACGTCTACAGCCACGCTGGCGGATTTGAGGCTATAGTGTGGCTCAGTGTTTTTAGCTAAATGTAGCATGCATCATAAATGCCACATTTACCACCTTAATTCAGCACGTTAAAATGACCTAATAAACACATAGCTGATGTAAATGTCATGACCATAATATTTTAACAATTTTAATCTTTAATGTGGAGGAAATTTGGGAGAACATCAAAGTCATACGGTTTTATCTAACCAGCAACAATTCATCCAACTGCCGCCCAGACATTTCACTCCCAAACCCAAATGTCAACCTCATGATGACGTTCGAGGATCCGTTATTGGTGCAACCGAACATATCTGTACCTAATTGCACTAGATAATGATGCATTTCAACCTGGATTTAAGTGGTTGACAGACCAACACATAATCCCGTGACCCAGGCTGTCAGCAATGCTGAATGTGCCTCTCAGCTACTCTACGTCTTCACAGCAGAATTTCAAAAGGCAAAATTCAAACCACCTCATCTCAAATGGACCTCACACTGTCAAGTAGTAGTCAAATGCAGTTAAATCCCTGTTGTTATTGCATTTACATCTCCAGGTTAAGGAATCAGAAGAGGATAAATGTCACCGGTTGATTATAAGACACGGTAAAAACTGCCTTTTTCCTTTGGTCTTTAAATTACACACGTGTTTACGCGTCAACAGCAGCGTCAGCCGGACACTCTGTCCCTCACCTCTTTCGGGGGGCCAGGGTCGGCTCTCTGATCACTGGTGTCTCTGGGTTTCTTGTTCCTCACAGTCTGAGGCGACTCTTTTGATGACTCTGATACACTTGGGATCTGAAAACGTTGGAGTAGATACTTTTTATTTTTCAAAAAGACTGTCACAAATCGATATTGTCTAAATCCTCCAGTTAATGAGGTAGTAAAGTAGGTAAAAAAGCACGTTACGGTTTGGCATTTTTTTCAAATTAGCAGCAGCAAGTGACAGGACCCTTTTTTTTTTTTAAATACAAGACAGGCGCAGACTAATTGCATTTTCTATAAATGTATTCATATCTATCGAGAAGAGGAAAAAGAAGCTTTGTCAGAGGGGTATATGCCTTCATACCTTGTCCAGGTTAGTTAAAGACCCCTCAGTTTCTCCTTGGCAGGCTGCGGGATTTTGTGGAGTTTCCTCGCTGAGCGAATCCAACACTTCATTATCTGGGGACGTCTCCAACTCAGACTTCATGTTTTCAGGAACGCTCTGAGGAGAAAAAACAAAGACTCTTCATAATTTATTAAATTCTTTGAGGTCTTTAACTTGTGCTTCCTGAATAAATCAGAACTGTGTCCCCGGATACCATGTCGCATCATTTACATATCGTCTAATATCACAGACAAGGACATGGAAATTTCAGTATTTCTTTGCCTTTAGTAAAATTATCTCCATAACCCACAAAAAAGGCCTCCCATCCTGTGTGCTCTTTGCATCTATCCACCGTTTGTCTAAGGTCTCACTACAAAGTCAGCTTCAAAGGTTAGTTTGACGAAAAAAAAAAAAATACTCTCCTACTATTGAGTGTGCTCACAAGGCTTTTACTTTGTCAAGGACACCGTCACCACAGCTGGGCAGATGGGGGGGTGCGGGGGGGTTACCTCATCGTGAGTTTGTCGTTGTAAACCGTCCTCTGGGTATCGACTGCACTGCAACGCTCTCAGATGCTCGCATGTCAATCCCAAGGTCTTTTGAGGAGCTTTTGATGTTTCTCGGTGTTCTCGGTTTGAGAATTTACAATTAAAATAAAATTCAACTAAATAAATACATTGTCGATATTAACATTAAGACACTCCCCTTTTACTAATCGGGATACTAGTTACCATCAAAGGAAGAAAGTACCTCGACTGCAGTCGTCCTCGTGTCCCCAGTCGGTCTGTGTATCGACGCTGACTCTGGTGTCGACTCCCCTGTCGGATACGCGTTTCGTCAGATGTTCAGTTGAGCTTGAAATAGAACCAGGTCCGTTTTTTTCTTTAGTTTAATAAACCTACATATGTGAGATTTAAACGCCTGCACAACATAATGCAACCCTGTACCACCACCAGCCAATACGTACTGGCTAGCATAATGCAAGCGCCTTCATGTGGTATGAGATGCTGATTCAACATCATGCAGAAGGCCTGGAACGGATCAATGTGTAACTTCTGTTTTCCTCGACTTTTTAAAACGTTAAACAATCGTGTATGAAAATGTATGACAAAGAGTTTTGTTTTGCGTCTTAGTGCTCCATTAGTTGCCCTGCTGTTGTCCATCAAGTGAATTTGTGGCATTTCTTTCCAAACCTCTGTTGGTTTACAACTCCAGGTTTCGTTGTTGCAGAATCCATCTCAGTTGATTTTCCTGATGAGTCAAGAGTTTAAATCTTCTCTTTGGCATGTTGTGAAACAGAGTTAGCAGAGAAACAAATAGGAATACATGAGTGTTTTTAAAATATCAGATGAAGAATGCTTTTGTTCTGATTGTTCCCCAGCAACCGCAGAACAAGAATCAACAATGTCTTATCCAGAAACTGTATTGAGACAAAATACGCCTCCTCATTTATTTTCTTATCTTTTATATTTCTCTACACCACCATTATGTTTACTTTCATTCATCCTCCGAAGATAAATTCAGCTGTTATAGTAGTACAAGGACATAATCAAGGGCAGTTTATTTGTAAAAACTCTATTACAAATGATTAGAAGTATTTATCAAATAAATATTGTAATACATATGAAAATAGAAAATAAGACTAATTTGCATTAAAATGACGAGGCAAGCAGTACACATACAGTATGAGCAGTGTTGTGATAAAGGGATCATCAATATTTAGTCTTTATACTTCTTTTGTAGCAATGCGCCAAAACACATCTTCATTATCATTGCAAACCTAACGGAATAATGCTCATGCGTTAAAGCAATTGTAAATCTTGACTTTGAGAGAAAAGCGGGGAAAGAGAACATTATAAATATCTCTGTAGAGTTTTCATCATCTGCAATTAGTGTATAATTCTTAAGTGAAAGTGTTAATCAGCCACACACCCACATCAAATTGCTGTATGAGCTCAATTATTTAGAAGTCCTTGAATATCTCAATTCAACAGCCCTCCGCAGGGCCATATATAGTAACTAGATAACGGGCAAAAATTCTAATAGTATTCTGGCGTCAATAGACTCGTAAAAGAAAGTTACCATGAGCGATAATTAAACTGAAAATGCTTTTAAAATAAAACATCAGACAGATTTTGCGTAACCCTTCTTCAATGCTCATGCACTATGGGTGCCTTTTGACACATGTGGTGATTAAAAGAGCCTTGTGAAGTACACCATGATGTATTCTGTTTGAACGCGGGACGCCATTCATGTTTATTCGTCACAAGTATCCCGGAGTCACTCAGTCCCTCGCGTTCTGTATTGCTCTTTGGATGACTTTTAAATTACTGCCTAAAACCAACAACCTTTTTTCGTAACAAAACAATATCAATTGAATGAAATACTATTAGATTTGTTCAAATGAATTCATTCCTTCAATGTGATATCTGCAGTGTTGGGCTTTACCCGGCAAAGTGTTTTTTTTTTACCAATGTGTTTGCAAATACATTATGTTACTTCCTGGATTACTATACAGAATTTGAATGTCTACTCAAAACAATATCTTGATCTGGTGCCATTTTAATAATAGAGCCCGGAAGGGAACCATTAATTTGGAAGCAGCCTTAGTAAAAGAATACAAGGATCCCATTAGGTCTGGTATTGGAGACATGTACTACTGAAGGGTTTTGTATGTTGAATACATATGTTGTTGTATGAATACATTAATATAACATCCACGTTAGCAGATTATCAGTTATTTACGCTACTGTTTGGTGTTTCCCAGTAGCTCGATGGAAAAAGTGATGTTTCAACTGGTAAATTGTCCGGTTTTGGATGATGTGGTATGACATCGTTCATGGAACATCCTCCATTTATTATTGGAGCAGTTCTAATGGAAGGTCATGATATCCACAGAAATTGTTTTATATTTCAGATAGTTTAAGATACACAACCGGGGTTTCTTTCCTAAGAGTTAATATTTTCTCCAAACCAATTGACCAATCTTCCATAAACCTTCTCCTACCAAGCTCAAGCTTTACATGCTTAATGAAAACATAAATATTAGAAGCACCACCAGATACTCACGAGGTTTTAACAATATAAAGCTATGAACTGTAAAACAGCCAAAAATCATATTAGCTTTTGCCAATTCTGTATTTCTCTTTCAATTTACATGGCCCCTTATCTTTTCGGATGACTTCTCCTTTTCCATTCGTCTGCTAAGCCGCTGCGTCTGTGCAATGAAACGGTAATGTGGCTTAATGTTGCTCAGGCTTGAAGAGTGGTGGGACATGCAGGTCTGCATTTGGTCAAGCAGAGAGTACATTTCTAAGCTCTTCATTTGGATATATCTCTTCTGAACGTCTTGACCCAGCTGCTCGTGGCTCTCTGGATGACGGTGCTGCATTAATGAAAGAAAAGATAACAAGCGAGCCCCAGTGAAAAAAACAACAACATCTGTGCACATATTGCAAATCATTAAGTTCTGCTGTTGGAGGCTCATGTATTTCTAATGTGCAAGAGAAAGAGAAACGCATAAATTGCCGCGTAGGCATTTGAAGCGTATTTCTTCAAACACCCACCTTAAGCTTTGACCCCACATTGAAGTTCACCTTGTTTTGCCGATGTGTAAAGTTGATGTACATGCGCTCTTGTGAGTGTATGCGCACGCCCATGTGTGGGCCCAGGGCAAAGGTTAGAGGCTTGAAGGGAAGTTTGCGCACGTGCGAGCCACAGCGATACAACCAATTCCAGCGCCTGCACAAAGCTCCTGTTTCACTGAAGCACAGACCTCCAACAGGGGTGTTACGTTTCCTCCGGTTAAGAGGGAAACGCTGACATCCAATGGGGGAATAAAACAGGAACCGTGTGAGGCAGTTAAAGAAAAGTAGGTTTATTTACAAAAAAAAGAACATAACGGGTAGGTTGGGAAAAGGTGGGGGGGGGAGAGTGTACTGTGGGGGTTGTGCCAAACAAAATTATCAAAGTACAATAAAACCAGGCCTAGCTCAACTCTGTGGAAAGAAAGAGGAAAACAAAAGACCTGACTCTATTCTACAAATGCTCAAAATAACAGAAATACATCGGTGGCAACAACCCATAACCTAGTGGAATAACAGTAACTCTGCGTGTATGTGGGTGTGTACAGGGTACCCCAGCCTTACCTCAGTCCCACTTCCCCCACCACAAACCTCAATGGAAAAAAAAGCAAGCCCCGAGAGAGAGCACAGTGAGAGGCTTTATAGTTGCCCTCCATATCGGATTGGCCGGAGTGTGGGCCAATACCGGGGTGCTCTGGAGGCAGGGCCAGCCAATACTCCGCCCCTCACCTGCAGGACAAACAAAGTAAAGGTGGGGGTAAGAGGCACACATCTCTACACGTAACACCCCCACACATACAAGTCCAACCAAAGGTTTGGACAGCATTTCTTTATAATGCACGAGACAGGGCATCGGCGAGTACATTTTCAGAACCCTTTTTATGCGCAATCTCCAGGTTGTAGTTCTGAACAATCAGGGACCAACGCATTAGGCGGTGGTTACTGTTGTACATCCTGGAGAGGAAGACTAGAGGGTTGTGGTCAGTGAAAACCTTTATAGGTTTACCAGTGGAGACAAGATATACTTCAAAATGTTGCAAAGCATACAACAATGCAAGGGTTTCTTTCTCTATTGTGGAGTACTTTAGTTGGTGTTTGTCAAATTTCCTTGAAAAGTAGGCCACAGGATGGTCGATGCCCTGGAAATCCTCCTGTAGGAGTACAGCTCCTGCTCCCACAGCGCTGGCATCAACTTCTAACTTAAATGGCAAGGAAAAGTTTGGCGCAGACAAGACAGGGTTACAACTGAGAAGCCACTTGAGATCCTCAAAAGACTGTTGGCACTCACTAGACCAAGTAAATGGCTTCAACGGACTGGTAAGTGCAGTCAATGGGGCGGCCACCGTAGAAAAGTTTTTACAAAACCTGCGGTAGTACCCGGCCATCCCAAGAAACCGCCGCAACTCCCGCCTGGTGGTTGGCTCAGGAAAGGCAGCGATTGCAGTGATCTTTGCATCTGCAGGACACACCTGGCCTCGACCAACCTGCTGACCTAGATACAAAAGAGAACCCCTCCCAAATTCACACTTTGAGAGGTTGAGAGTCAGAGACGCCTCAGCTAGACGTTTGAAAACGTCCCTTAGGGTAGCCATGTGAGAATTCCAATCATCAGAGTATATAACAATGTCATCCAAGTATGCCTTACAGTGTGGAACATCTCGCAAAACCTTGTTTACAAGTCTCTGAAAAGTAGCAGGCGCATTGCAGAGTCCAAAGGGCATTACTGTGTACTGAAGAAAACTGTCAGGGGTGACAAAAGCTGAGATCTCCGAGGCACGTGGGGTTAACGGAACCTGCCAGTAACCCTTTAACATGTCAAGTTTACTGACATACTCTGCTGGACCGACCTCATCGATACAGTCTTCAATAAGGGGTAAGGGATGTGCATCAGGGACAGTCACGGAATTCACCTTACGGAAGTCAGTACAGAACCTTTGGCTGCCGTCGGACTTCGCATCCAGGACACATGGTGAGCTCCATGAACTGGAGCTGGGTACCGCGAATCCATGTTCCACAAGGTAGTTCACCTCCTTCCTCATGCATTCCCTCTTTGCAGGATTAACTCGATAAGCATGCTGTTTGATGGGCTTCGGGTTAGTCAAAACAATGTCATGCATAAGGACAGAAGTTTGAGAGGGTATATCACCAAATAAGCATGGGAAGCCAGATATTAAATTCTCCACATCACCACGATGGTCATCAGGCAGGTGGGACAAAAAGTTAGACAAATCTGAAAGTAGCTCAGTGTTTTTCAGTCTTAACCCCTGTGGGGTGGCACTACGCATAACCAGTCCATCCTCCTCAGTGGAGCTCTCTGCTGAGCATACAGATACCGCTGACACATTTTGTATTTTAGGAAGTCCAGACGTTCCACTTTCATCCTCTGCTGTAAAGTATGGCTTCATCATATTCACATGACATAATCTGTTTCTCCGTCTGCGATCGGGCGTTTGAATGATGAAGTTAGTGTCACTGACTTTCTTTTCCACAAGATAGGGACCGGAAAATTTCGACGACAGGGCAGAACCAGAGATGGGAGAAAGAATCAAAACCTTGTCACCAGGTTGAAACGAATGGGCAGTGGCTTTCTGATCGTAGTATTTCTTCATTTTCACCTGAGCAGAGGATAGCGATTCTCTGGCTAAAGAGCAGGCTCTCTGGAGCCGAGCTCTGAGTTTCGCAACATAATCAGGGATGCTATGGACCTTCCCTTCAGGCAAGAGAAGTTGTTCTTTCAAAAGTTTTAGGGGGCCACGAACCTGATGTCCAAACACCAGTTCGGCAGGACTATATCCGAGTGACTCCTGTACAGCTTCGCGAGCAGCAAACAACACAAATGGCACAGCATCATCCCAGTCCTTTTGACTCTCAAAACAATGCTTTCTGAGCATGGACTTTAAGGTCTGATGAAACCTTTCTAGTGCCCCTTGGCTTTCAGGATGGTATGGGCTTGACATTATGTGCTTAATGCCCAAGGTTTTCAGTACCTGGGCAAACACTCGAGACGTGAAGTTGGTACCTTGATCGGTCTGAACAACCTTAGGAAGGCCAAACTTCGTGAAGAACTTTATAAGTGCTGTACTGACCACTGGAGCCGTGATCCTCCGTAGCGGAACAGCCTCTGGGAACCTAGTGGAAACACACATTATGGTTAAAAGAAACTGGTTGCCAGATTTGGTCTTCGGTAACGGCCCCACACAGTCAACGATTACTTTTTCAAATGGCTCACCCATCACTGGTATGGGACAGAGTGGGGCAGGAGAAATCACTTGGTTCGGTTTGCCAGTTACCTGACACACATGACACAATCGGCAATGGCGCACCACGTCAGCCTTGAGTCCTGGCCAGAAAAAATGTCGAAGGACTCTATTATAAGTCTTTGTGATACCTAGATGTCCCGCCCACAGGTTGTCATGAGCCAGAGACAAAACCTGAGATCGATATGCCGTGGGGACAACAACTTGATAGGTTACATTCCAGTCCCCCCCATCTAAGTCATTGCCACTCCAATGGCGAACCAGCAACCCATGATCCATGAGGTAGGCCACTTTCTTTTCCTTAGCATCTTCAACACTGAGAACAGATGAAAAACAGTTTTGTAGTGTCTTATCACTCTGTTGGGCTGCCATAAACTCCTCTCTTGTGGCTGGCAGCTCCACTGCCTCCATCCTTGAGATACCAAACTGCTCATGGTTTGATTTAAACACTGACTGATCCTCCGACGGAGTTTCAGTACCAGACGGCTGATCTACAAAGATGAATGAGTCAGACAGGTCAGCTCCGTATTTCTTGGTCTGAGCCCTTGTGACTGCACAAGCCGGGAAAATCTCCGAAGAATTTTGGCTGTCACCAGCAGGGTCTGTTACAACAGGAACGTCCATGACCACAGGAGTTGAACTCACCTTTCCCCCAGCAATATCATTACATAAGAGGAAATCAACACCAGCAACAGGCAAGTCAGGGAGTACTGCAACGTCGAACCACCCACTAAGTAGAGGACACTGAAGATGGATTCTATGTAGTGGCGCGAGTACATTAACCATCCCAACCCCCCGGAGTTTAACACTAGACTGACAGGAGGTAAAAGATGACAATGGTAAGACCCCATCCCTAATGATTGACTGAGAACCAGCTGAGTCTCTCAGTAAGGTGACCACTTTCTGGTCTTTTGGATTGCTAGTTAACGACACAAAGCCTTCTGAGATAAACGGTTTGAAACAAGGATCAGGTTTATCCTTAACGTCCTCAGACTGTTCAGTAACAAGCGTTGGAAGCGTTTTAATCAAACACACATCCTTTTGCTGGGAAGCTAGGGAAGATTGCTGTTTCCGTTTCAACGTCAAACAGTCAGCAACAACATGGCCTTTTTTGTGGCAATAGAAACACTCACGGTTCTCTTGTGTGTGCGACCAGGGTCCTTTTGCCTGTTCAGAGGCAGAATGACCAGACCCAGGTCTGGTTGAACGTGAAACAAAAGTTCTGTCAGATCGAGGGGCAGATACAAAGACATTCTTATGTGTTAGCACAAACTCATCTGCAAGGACAGCAGCCTTGGATATTGACGACACCTTCTGTTCATTCAAGAACATCACCACCTTATCTGGCAAAGAGCCTTTAAATTCTTCCAACAGAACAAGCTGGCGAAGTGACTCAAAGTCGTTTTTGACATCACTGGCGGCACACCACTTATCGAAGAGGGTGCCCTTTTCCCGTGCAAACTCAACAAACGTCTGATCATTAGATTTTCTGTGATTCCTAAATTTCTGCCGATAGGCTTCAGGAACAAGTTCATAAGCACGCAAAATGGCCTCCTTTAATGAATCATACTGCAAACTATCTTGTACGGAAAGGGCAGAGACTACCTCTTGTGCTTTTCCAATCAGTTTGCATTGGAGGAGGATAGGCCACATGTCCCTCGGCCAGTCGAGTGCGGAGGCTATTCGTTCAAAAGCACTGAAATATGAATCGACTTCGGCCTCCCGAAATGCTGGCACCAGAGAAATATTTTTACTGACATCAAAACTTTGCTTACCGGCTACCGTTTGGAAAGGTGTCGACCGGTCGGACATGTTCAACGAGTGACTGGAAGAGATTTTCAGAGCCTCAACCTCAAGTTGCTTTAGTCTTACTTCTTTATCCGCTTCAATTTCTAACTTTCGTACCTGCAGGCGGAGATCATACTCTGCCTTACGCATGGACTCTTTTTCTTGGGCCTCCAGCTGAAGGCGAGTCAAGCGAACCTTCAGCTTGGAACTTGAACTGAACCCCGGAGGGTGTGAAGGAGAGAAAGGATCAAAACGAGGTAACGTAGCTGGCGCAGACTTCCCAGCACGGTCTGCAGGAGGTGTGAATAATGCTGCGGTCTCCTCGGCACTCTGAGACAAAACCCCTGCTGTAGTAGAAGGAACATCATTAGTTGAAACTTCAGCCACGGACTGGGCAGGACTAAGGACATTTAAATCAACTAATTTTTCTAGGACCTGCGTCTTTATTTCTTTCTTAAGTCCGTACTTGTGAACAGTAATATCAAAGTGTGCTGCAATACACAATAAATCATCCTTGCGACACACATCAACCTTTTCAAAAGAGGGATTGTCAACAAAATCTTGTAAATTGAAACTCATTTTCAATCACATGCCAAACAAACCCCATGTATAATTTCCCATTGGTTGTCAGAAGAAGAAAAAAACAGGTATATCCCGGACGAGCCCCCACTTGTTACGTTTCCTCCGGTTAAGAGGGAAACGCTGACATCCAATGGGGGAATAAAACAGGAACCGTGTGAGGCAGTTAAAGAAAAGTAGGTTTATTTACAAAAAAAAGAACATAACGGGTAGGTTGGGAAAAGGTGGGGGGGGGAGAGTGTACTGTGGGGGTTGTGCCAAACAAAATTATCAAAGTACAATAAAACCAGGCCTAGCTCAACTCTGTGGAAAGAAAGAGGAAAACAAAAGACCTGACTCTATTCTACAAATGCTCAAAATAACAGAAATACATCGGTGGCAACAACCCATAACCTAGTGGAATAACAGTAACTCTGCGTGTATGTGGGTGTGTACAGGGTACCCCAGCCTTACCTCAGTCCCACTTCCCCCACCACAAACCTCAATGGAAAAAAAAGCAAGCCCCGAGAGAGAGCACAGTGAGAGGCTTTATAGTTGCCCTCCATATCGGATTGGCCGGAGTGTGGGCCAATACCGGGGTGCTCTGGAGGCAGGGCCAGCCAATACTCCGCCCCTCACCTGCAGGACAAACAAAGTAAAGGTGGGGGTAAGAGGCACACATCTCTACACGTAACAAGGGGTCAGATTCAACCTTTGGACACACACACACACACACAGATTAGCAACAGACCAAAGCATCGGGACAGCAGGTTAATCCCAAAAGTATCTCTGGTCAAAAAGTAATTTCAGAAAAGAGGATATTTAGTGTCTAAGTTACATAATAAACAGTTAAGATTTTTTTTTTTGACAAATTAGATTCATAGCGAAAGGAATGAGTGAAAGGACGAGTTTGACATTCTGGGAAATATGCAATATCGACTTTCTGGTCGAGAGTTGGATGAGAACGTTGCTAACACCGCTTCAATGAGCTAGCATGACCACTGTGTAGTCCGAGGGGAACCACAAGCTCTTCAGCACCTCCTCAGATAAATCCACACACACAAATAAGAAAAAAGAAAAACGTTAATTTGAGTTAATTAATTCCTGGATTTTCTATCGTTGTATTAATTAGAATAAGTCTGGCACATAATCACTTGCAGAGTGGTATTGCCAAACCTTACTTACCTTTTGTATTGACGACACAAACAAGCCAGAACAGCGCTTGGCTAGCTGTTTACCCTTCAATCCGATCTCGAAGCTGCTGGCTTCATAAACTTTGCAGTAAAAAGTATGTAACGACCCTCTCGTCAAACTCCATGCCAGACGACCAAAAATGTGGAGCTATGGCTTTAAGCCCTTATTTTCTTTGTCTAAATGAGCGTAATAGCAGTTATCATAGAGTAATAATTACCGAATGGTTCCATTGGGATGATAGCATGTGGCGTGGCCTTTGTTTGTGAAAATGCCTTTGATGCTCGGAGCGACGTCCTTGTCCTCCAAGATGATGTAAGTGAAGTCAGCGGCTGCTGCAGAGGACACTATAATGGCTGCTTTCCCAGAAGGATAACTTACCTATTAAGGCTCATTTACATCGTTTGAATCTTTTATCAAAAGGAACAAATGTGTACCGACTCTCTACTTTGACCAAGTCCTTCATCTTTCGCTTTGTGCACTTCTTCTTAAAAGGATACAAAACATTACCTGTCCCATCTGGAAACAAGGTAATGAAACATTTCCCACTTTTGTAGAACCGCTTAATTGTTTCTTTCAACTGGAATGACAAAGTAGTCCCGTTTCCCATTACATTTCTGGTAAATATACAGAACCAGTCAAAATTTCTCATTCAATTGAACATGTGCAAACTTTTGAGTGGTTCAGAATTCGGGATAAAGCACTTAACAGCAATGTCATTATGTGATGCAGCTTTCAAACACACCTTTGGCTCACCATCTGTTCCTTCCTCATGTGTAAACCAGTCAGTCGCTTTGTTAATATGCAGTTCAGGGATCTGCGACTGATCATTGATTTGGGGAACCATTTTCGACGGGCTCTTTGATGTTTTCTTCTTTATCTCATTACGGCCAATAAAAGGATAATATATATTTTGTCAATGACAAAAATAAGATATTCCACATTTGACTTCTTTAATTTGTACTAAATTGACTTGTTGCATACTTACTGGAGCTGTTTGAGTCGTCTATTGTCAGTATTCTCTGGAGTTGCGAATCTCTCAAACTACAGAAATCAGAACTCTTAATTATTTTCCGCAGGAGTGAGAAAAATGCACAATACGGAGCCAGAACCCGAAGGGCAGGAAAAATCGAATTTACACAAGTAGAAATGCTTTTCTAATGGCATACGACCTACTACAAACATGCAGTGTGTTTGTGTAGTCCAGGCTTCCACCCAATCTTACCAACACATGGAGGGAATGTGGAGGCGCACATGTTGCTCACCTCTCAATGGCCAGCGCCTTAGCAGCTTCCCTCTCCTCATCACTCATGACGGAGGCATGCGGGTTCACATCAATCTTCCTATCGGACTCCTTCTGTTCCAACTTCTCTTTCTCTCCCTGTATAAGCTCTCTAATTTGTTTTGCTTGCTCACTCCAAAAAACCTGATTAAAAGAAGATTCACTAAGGTGAACATTTCTTTCACTCTCTTGGTCGCTCTGCTCCTCTCCGTGAAGGTTTCCCCGCCGTGAATGGATGTCGTTTTGTCAAGGTTAGCTGAGCAGTCACTATTTCTCATTATTTTATTTTTGAGTAAACAAGCTACACTCACCCACTGAAGGTTCGTTTCATTTTCTAACGGTTGGCTTTGTACGAATGGCTGACAGAGCTGCTGGCAAAAGAAGAGGTGAGCGAGTAGCAAACCCTGTTTAGATTCAACCTCTGGAACCTGCAGTGCAGCAAGAGAAAAGACAATTGTATTGGATATTAGAGCCCGCCGTGAAGCCACTGTGGGAAAATGTAGAAGGTTATCACTGTCATTTCCAAGCATTATGGCCAATATCAAGATTCTACGTCAACGGCACCTTTGCAACGTGAAGCGCTCGTTTTGGCTCCGGCTCGTGTGCTATAAGACGAGGTGGACCCACACCAGGTATGTCGTACTCTGCCTTTGCCATCGTTTCATCACATGGCTCCTAATGCGAATACAAGAAACCCAGACTTGCACGGATAGTTGGATGTACTAGCTGTATGTTGCTCACATTATAAGGCCTTTGTTGAGACAGATTTGAGATGTTGGTGGTGGAGAAGTACTCAGATATTAAAAGCAAGGGTGTAAATAAAAAATCATAATAACCATCATTGATATGACATTTTTTTCAGCTTTAAAATATGTAAAGGTATTGTCATTAAGGAATAGAGTTAACATGTTTGTATCCTGACATATAAAGGAACAACTATTTGCATTAACCATAATTAATCTCTGATTTAACGCACCACCCAGTCGTCACATGGTCCATATTCGATACACCCAGGATGTTGCTTAGAGTGTGTCTTGTGCTGGATTTCTTGTGATGGATTGAATGTGATGTTTGTGACAATAATCCCTGGTGTTACTGCAGCGACTCTCTCATCAACGTTTTAAATCAAACTATGAATAATTCAGCCAGTTAATTGCAACAAATGAATTGTATACACTGCTGGTTAGACTCCTCTGGAAAGAAATAAGTAATAAGTAACTAGTGAGTAGTTATTAGATAAATATAGTTAGGTGCTTTGTTACACAAAACATACATCATATATTTGTCTCCAAATAGTTTAAAATGATAAAATAACATAAAATTGAGTACTGAAGTACCAAGAATCAAGAACCTCAAAAAGTACAGTAGTTTTACAGGAGAATAAATTTTGAGCACCACATTTTGAATTGTATTACCAAAATGACCATCCCTTGACTGTGAATAGAACCCACATTTTGCCATTAGCAGGTTACCTCAGACAAATGAGCAATAATGTCCATTCCCTCTGCTTGCAACAACTCGGGATCCCCTCTTTCAGCTGCACAACAGAGGAATAATTGGGAATTTGACAGACGTCATGAGAGGCGAGAAGGGGCAGGAACAGCTGACCCCTTTGCGCCAGAACTGATGAAATGGCTTACCTTGACAGCCGAGAGAGATTCTCTGTTCCACCCACTTCCAATCCGTCTGGCTCTGAGCGCCCACCAAAGTAATGAACCCACCACCCGGCTCTGGTGAGACGGGTCTGCCCAGATGAAGAGAGACAAGAGCAAACGCTGATCCAAAAAGACTCTACACTCATCTTTGAACAGTAATTGATTAGTGTAATGTGTCTGGTCAACTGGTGAATGTAAGTCCAGGTAAGAGACTAAAGTTGAGGAAGATGTAGTGGATGCTGTGATATAAATTATGTTTTCTTTGGTCATATTTAAGCAAATGTCATTATGCAATTTATGACCAAGTAATGTTGACATGTATCCCTCATCGACACCTGTAGGAGATTCATGTAATTCAAAAGAAACTGCAGTAATACAGTAATGCAGTAATGGTCGCACTACACACAAGTCAGATCCATCAGACATTTTTCTTTTTTTTAGTCTCTGCAGCCTGAAAAACTATTTAACTGGACCAGCCGGAGCAGCAAAACGTGATTACATGGAGATCAAAGTAGATCAGAGGTAGAGAATTGCAGCATTGTTTCTGAGCATGTCACTGCATGTGAAAACAAAATAATACAGGAGATGTGTGTGTAGCAATGCAGGTCAATAATAAAAAAAACACATTGAAAGTAACTGATATAGTAAATTATACATAGAAAATGTCCCTTACGGCCCCTTTTCTGTAAGCGATGTACTGAAGCATCTGGCTTCTCTCCAATCACCTGTGAAGGAAAACAAAAAAGCCTATTAGCTCATGTCGTGCACATAACCAGCCTGGTTGTTAACAGTTTTGAACTTTTTAACATCCTAGTCAACCAACTCACTTTTCTTCCTCAGTCGTTCTTGCGGAAGCACGGCGGCACAAAGTTTTCCAAGGTCATTTGCCGCCGGTGGTGCGCTGACTTGAATGTTGAAAGGAGAGCCGGCGTAGTCGTCGGTTGTGATGTTAACAAGGGGATCTTTCTGGTCGTCACATGTCTCCTTCTCCTCCAGGCTCTTCGGGTTGTCATAAAGATGTCGAGGGAGGAAGTCACCTTCTTTAAGGCTCTCAGGAGATGCCGAGGCAGTATCTCTGCGGTAGGATGAAGACTGACTCATCTTTTATTAAACGTGATATGTCAACTGAAGCTAAACCTCTGGAGGACGAGTCTCTCAATACTGCGCATTTCCATTTGTAACATTTTTGTTATTGTTCAAGTGCAGTTGCCGGGAAGTTGTTTTGCATCAAACTCATGTACTCAATCCAAAACGTCACATGGTTGCAAAATACCTTTTTTTCATGTTCCCATTACATATAATAATAATGACTTTGAAGTTTAGAGACAGAGACTTTGTGGCTTCAGGCAAAGGAAAATCATCTCTTCAGTAAAATAGCCGTTTTTATTATGCTTCATTTAGATTTAGATCTAGATTAAGAAGTTTTATTTCAAACTATCAACTTTTTAGTGATAAGAGAGGGAAGCAGCTGTAAGATAATATCTCTACTGGAGCTGAAATGATCTCACTCTGGGATAACAGACAATGCACTTCAACGCCGTCCTTTCATTGAGGATGATGCTGCAAGGGATGTAATTACAGTCACCACTGACAGATCGATGACTAATGCCGAACAATACCATAGTCTGTAAAAACTTGATTTCCCTCTGCTGGGTTCTAACATTTACAGCAGGCGCTGCAACAAATCAGTGGGGCGCTTCTTTGTGTTGGACGTACATCCTTCTCTCAAGGGATTACACACTGATTTCATGCAGAGTTTGTATTTTTGTATTCAAAGGTAAGCTGACATAGTTCAATGCAACTTGATATTTCAGTATTTACTGTTTTTATCTGTAAATTAAACGAATCCATTACCTCACCTGAATACTCTGCTGATGCAATTCTCAAGGCTTAGATGCTGTGCTCATTATTTCCACTCTTACTTTCCCTGCAGGGCTGTTAAAACGCATTTCAGGGCCTTTTGAGGAAATCACCAACAATGTGGACCGTTTCTCTGTTTTTTTGTTTCGCCAATATTCTCGCCGCAGGACAGGCCGGTGGTCCGCTTTCAGAACCAGCCCCTGTATTGGAACTCTCTGAAACGGCCTCGCCGGGTCTCTTCATTCCGGCAAAACAGAAACCTAACAGCTCAATTCATCCACCCCAAGTAGGACACAAAGCACCCAGCCCTCCCATGTGCTTGGAGTCGGCCGGGACCAGAGACGCCTTCAAATATGTCCACACCGCCGTCTCCGTCGTGGTTTTCGTTGTTGGAATAGTGGGAAATTCAGCCTTACTGAAGATCATATACGCAAACAAATGTATGAGAAGTGGGCCGAACATTCTCATTGCGAGTCTTGCTCTGGGGGATCTGATGCACATTGTGATCGACATTCCAATCAACGCGTACAGGGTGAGTTGTGCTGTGTTACGATTACCATGAGAAAACAATGCTGTGCCTCATTCTGTCCTCCTTCATCCTTTCTGAAACTCAAATCTCACCTTGAATTGGATTGTGGGTCTGTGTTTCTCCTCTTTTCTCTACAGCTCATAGCTGAAGATTGGCCGTTTGGTTTGTTGCTGTGCAAACTTGTCCCCTTCATACAGAAAACCTCTGTTGGAATCACCGCGCTGAGCTTATGCGCATTGAGTGTTGACAGGTAGGGAGATAAGCTGCGCTGTCCCGTGTCCTGCAAGTTGACTGCCTACTATCTGCATTTCACCCAGCGGACAGATGTGTTTAGTATTAGCCCTTCAAATGTTCTTAAACTGAAAAATCTATTATTGTTCCAGACAAAAAAAAATAAAAAATCCCCCAAGCCATAACATTTTCCCATTGATTCTGCAGATACCGAGCTATAGTATTCTGGAATCGAATCAAAGGCATCGGGGTTCCAGTGTGGACAGCGGTGGAAATATCTCTGATATGGGTTATTTCTATCCTGCTGGCTGTGCCTGAAGTGGTCGGCTTTGATATGATAACAATGAACTATAAAGACAAGCATCTGAGGATATGCCTGCTTCATCCCATGCAAACCACCCCGTTCATGCAGGTAAAGTATCAGCGTGCGGCCGACACAAGCAGAATGAAACAAACAGGCCGTCGTGTGTTTGATTTGTCTTCTCGCGTCCAGCTTGCAGCAACATGTGTAAGCGTGGGCAGGAAATGAAACAAATAATAACTGTCTGTGGGTCTCTGTCATGTTTAAGTTTTACAAGTCAGCAAAGGACTGGTGGCTGTTTGGCTTCTACTTTTGCCTGCCACTGGCTTGGACCGCCCTTTTCTACACACTCATGACCAGGAAAATGCTTAGGAATACCGAGAACACGTTAAGCGACCACACCAAGCAGGTAATTTCTGTAGAACAAATGTGGCATGTTTTTATCGTATTTTGGTATAACGTCAACCTTGATACTGATGTGATTTTTCTTTTTAAGAGGAGAGAAGTCGCAAAAACCGTCTTCTGCCTGGTGATAGTCTTTGCACTTTGTTGGTTGCCTCTGTACCTGAGCAGAATCTTGAAATCCACCATATATGATGAGAAAGACCCTGATAGGTGTCGGCTCCTGAGGTGAGCTCGTGAAAGGAAGTACTGCTTTTCATTGTTGTCTGATTAGTAACTAACGTTCACCCTCCTTTTTCAGCGTCTTCCTGGTGATGGACTATTTTGGCATTAACATGGCGTCACTCAACTCGTGCATGAACCCCATTGCACTGTTCATGGTCAGCAAGAGATTTAAACAATGTTTCAAGGTAAGAGATGCTGGCTTAGACATTTTACTCCGAAATATGTTCCATGTGTACCATTGCCTTGTCTGGTAGGGGTGAAAGCTTTATGCTCCACATTGGATGAGCAATGATATGTGTCATCAGGGACACATGGAGTCATGTCTGCGCACAATGACCCGGGGCGCAATAATTGAAAATGGTCTGGAAAAAGCTTGTCAGTATAAAGTAGACACTTGGCAATTTACCAGATAGTTTGTCACTGAATTAGATTGATGTGTTGTGAAACAAAAACATGGTTTCAAGGCAATTTCCTATAAAACATTTCTTTAAAGACTTTATTGCAGTACTAGCTCAGAAGGACATTCCTAAAACATACTTCATTTGTTTGGCTGTCTCTTGGTTCGTGCACACAGTGGCGCATAAATAAATACTCTACCTCTGCAATTATGCTATTAATAGCCATATTTGTTTTACAATTTCTCCTCATAATATATCATTTTATTTAATTAAAAGTTAATCCAACTTGAAAGTGATTTCAACGGATGAAAAAAACAACCAAAAAGCAACTTCCCTATTATCTGCTGTCTCCACCAAAGTAACAAGAATTATTTGTGGCTCCTTATTCAAAAACATACAAAGAAGCAAAACTGCATTCCACTGAGATTATACCGTAAATACTACACACACACACACACACACACACACACACACACACACACACACACAGTTAAACTTTGTAATGCACCGTTATCTGCACATAAAGCTGATGGTAAATGTTTGTCGTTCTCTGACTAAATGTCTGCGTGTTGTGCTCCTTCAGGCATGTCTGTGCAGTTGGTGTCGGCCTCGTCCAGCTGTAGCGAATGAGGAGGTGCAGCCTGTTTTGAAGTCCAGAATGCAGGACCAAGCCTCCGAGCAGAGCTGCAACATCAAAGCTCACGGGCCGACTTCCACACCCTTACAGGGGAACACCTTACTGTGTTAACAAAACACAGTATTTCTATGAAAAATTATACATCCATATATATCAAAGCGGCTTCCAAAACCGCTCAATTGGTGGCTCAGCAACCATGACGTGCCATATAGATAATGTTAAATACTTTGTGAATAACGCGCAGCGCTGCCTTTTTGCGCCGCTCTCGTCAGTTGAACATCTGGTTCTGTATGAGCAACCTGGAGTCAGACCATTTGGCCCCGGGCTTTGACTCATGGCCAACCATTACATCAGATTTTACCGAGTACCTATTCTGTATCACGCATCACGGCCCTATAATCAATCGTTTGGGCATGATGCTAACCTGGCACACATTGACACAAATCTTCTCACAGATTACTGCCTGCATATGTATTATTTGGATTCTGCTTCTGGATTTTGTTAAGACGCCGTACCGTAAAAAATTGAGCAAATGAGAATTTAAATATATTGGGATGGGTTTCACGCGGTTCGGTGTGTTATCCACACATAAATGTGTGTTTTTATCTCTAAGTTTCTCCACACAAAAAGAGTTTACAGCCTCCCCCTCCGTTCTCGAACCTTGAGAAAACTTATCAAATTGGCGCCACAAGTAGATTCCTCCTCTGCCACTGAATGACTGATTGATGGTGGCCTATTTTTAATGCTTTGTTAAATGTGTAATGCGTGGAGACACTTTATAAAAGACCTGAGAGAGGGGAAGAAGGAAAACGAAGATGACAGAATGAGGTCAGGTGGAAAGAAGGATGGGAGGGGGTTGAGGGGGTTGAGGGGGTTGAGGGGAGGGGGGGTAGAGATGAGCACCTGATAGGTCTTCCTGTCACAGGACAAGGCAAGCACAAATAGAGCGCCGTTCCTCAGCTAATGCTGCATCAGTCGGCAAAACTGTCTTGATGCTGCGCACAGCAATGCCCATTAAAAGTTTATCTTCAAGAGCCCAACACTCAACTGTTTGAAAAGATTTAGTTACTTGTTGGAATAAAAGTGTGTGAATACTTTGATACCTATTGACATATAATAAGCACTCCAGTAAAGTTATGTAGCTCTAATTAAACTCTGTTTTTCAAGTACATGTGGAGTGATCGTTTGTAATCACGCATATTGTAGACTAATTTTATTGTATTTGAAATTAAACTGAATATATAAGAATGGCAACTTGTTTTTTATTGTGACTTTGTACAACATGTTTGGTGCTCTGACAGCTCTTGGCACATCAAACCTGGAACACGAGGAAATGCCGCTTCCACATCACATGATTTCAAATCAGCAAGCTTTCACCATCTTTACCTAATTGGTTATCTTGCCTTTACTCCAGATGGGAGCACAAGATTGAGCAAGCGACAGTGAGAATCCGGTGTTTTACTGGTTATTGTGAGAGATTAGCAATAATCAAGTCCTTTCCAATGTACACACCGTGTAACTTAGTCTTCAAAATTGTATATTTATCCCCGAATCTAATCATTTTTAAGTTGTGATGACAGATTTGAGTCATCTACCTCAAAATATGTTTGTGGTTAGAGGTGCCAAAATATGTTTCAAGAGAACAGAAGGAGCAACACGCGTGCTTTTCAGCCCACGCAGTCATGCCTGCTGCGCTACACACTCGTGCACCTCTCTCTGTTCTGACATGAGAGAGACAGTGTGTCTGTGTCTCTGAGGCTTTGACTTTTGGATACAACCGTGTGTTGGACAGGATATGAGAGTTCAATGTGCTCGTTCGCGTAGAAGACAATTTGCGCATTTTTTGATCTAGAAATAAATGGTCCATTTATTTTATGTCTTTGTACTTAAATGTACGTACAAATCTTGGAAACTGTCCTGCCGTTTTTTTCTATTTTTCAATGTGTTTTTTGTGTATATATTAGTCTCACGCCTACCTCATATTTTTTTTTTATTTGTACTGTTGACTAACTCACTTAATGGAACTCCAAGATTGATGTGCAACAGCACACTTCATCCGAAGCTTCTGTCAGATACTAATTGTGTGTCAAATGCTGTCAAATGCTCCATTCTCCCCAGTCAATGTAAATGCCAACAGATGATTAACAAACGCTGCAGTGTTATCATGTCCTCAGCAGTAAAAACTCACAAATGACGCTGACACAATCGAGCTCTGGTATCCAGAGAAGGGTGACGTCAGTGTCAACATCAGCGAGAGAGCGGGTGTCGGAGGCCGTCTTCAGTAATCTCTGTTCGCGAGAGGTTCAGATAGGACTCCCCACGATGCTGCCCAGACTCCCCAGACTGTGGATTTAATTAAACAGTGTGAAATTAATTAATCAGTGGCGTAGCAGGTAAGAGGACTTGGACTTGGAGGACTGGAACTGCTCACACAACCAAGACAAGCGTTTTGTGTGCTCTGACAGTTATTCATTTGCAGTATTTTTGCATTATATTGTTTCTATATAGAGATGCTGAGATTAAAAAAGCTTGGCATGGGAGAAAAAAAAGTCATGCAAATTATCCAAATAACAGCTCCCGAAAATCAAAGTGTAAACCTGTGTTTGATCTGTTCTATCAATTAATTAAAATTTTCTGTTCTGTATAATAATGTGGTGCAAATTAGATGGAAATGAGATAAAATATTCATTTAGTTATCTGGGGAATCTGCCTGCAGGGCTTTTTCGTCTTCAGTATGGCTCAAAATGCTGTCCATATGGCAATTATGTACAGTAGTGTTGCAGGAGGATTGGTCTGATGCCTACTGGCAGAGAGGAGCCTGCCTGTGACAAACTGCTGCTAGGATCTGATGTGAGTTGAGGGAGATAATGAGGCTGTTGTAAGCCTTAAGTATAGAGCCTGCCCCCGGGGTGGCATATCGTGGGGCCCAGGCTCCCTCATTGTTGCATGTGCTGCTGAAGATTAAAAACACATTTACTTTATTCTCATAAACTTTGTCAGTTCCTCCCACAACTCTTTGGACGACTTCTGCTTTCATGTGGAAAGCCTCTTGACATTGCTTTGTGCAGCAGCTTTTTTTCCTCCACGGTTTGTAGATGTGAAGTCTTGATTTGATTCTGCTTTGAGCTATGTATAGCTCTTTTTAAGCACCCCACCAGAGGACGTGTACGTTCCTGGGCACATCCTACGGTGACTTTGACAAATGCCATAGTTTGATAGAGAACATCTTTAATAATGATCCCATCCGGCATGGCGTGTTTGTTTTTTTCAAACTAGATTTCACTATCGGGTTAAGAGAAAATGACGTGGTTGAGGAAGTATAGTTTGCGTTGCTGGTTATAAAACTGTCCTACTCCATCTGCGTTGCAGAACTCTCAGCTGTGGTGCCTCCACTTACTGTCCGTAGAGAACAAAGGCACAAACACAAGCACCGTGTCCAAATTAGACCATCTCCACACTACAGGTTTTCTGTTTGAGTGTAACGATGACAACATGCAACCGAGTGCAATACACAAAAAAACTCCCCCTGTATTGTGTGCAGATGAACCAAGTCACCTGTGATAACTGCTGTTGTTATAGAAATATCATTCACCAAATGCAGGTAGCTTTAGACAATATTTACAAGATCTAATCAGTTAAATAAGGAAGACAGACGTCCTTACTATACCAGCAGGCATTTAATTAATGGCCATTAGGGGCTTGCATACCAAACAGCAGGGTGTGTGAGAGAGAGAGAGAGAGAGAGAGAGAGAGAGAGAGAGAGAGAGAGAGAGAGAGAGAGGGGTTAGGAACACTAGCCAATGGCAATGAAACTTCAGAGAGTCAGACTACTGGGCAGAGCTGAAAGTGGTCACTCAACCATGGGATTAAAAAGCATTTAAGCCTTGTACCAGCATACCAATACCCCCAACCTCAATCTCACACACACACGCGCGCAACCCACACCACTTTAGTCCAGCCATGTTATTTCTGGCCATTCCCTTAAAAAAAAGAGGAAACTGTTAGGTGGCTGGGTTGTTATTGCCAGTGCAAAACGGCAGGTTACAGGTTCTTCACGACGCCAGCATCCATAAACGTATTGCAGTGGTTTCTTGCAGCAAAACATAATGAGCTAGCCTAAAAGGGTTTCTGTGTTCTTGTTTAGGTGCAAAATGGACTGTCACTACTGTTTATTTCATTCATGTCTGGATGTAATGGAAAACACGCAATCAAATGTAGGACACGTTTACTAGAGTGGTTCACTTCACACTTCTATTCTCACTTCTTTATGCCTCTTGGGCAACAACGGGCAAATTTCTGACAGGCTATTGACTTATTTATAGGCAGCTCTAGTGAGTGCATGGGCTTGATTAGCACGAATCCGCGCCACGATGTAAATCACAAGCTTTGGTTTCCCAGATGCATTGTGCCGAGCGTCCATGCCAAGAGGTTGTTGGTAAAAAAAAAAACACTTTTGATTCACTGGTCACCAGAGTACCAAAGAGCCCTGCCTGACTATTACTGTTTTGATGGGCAATGATGAAAGCACAGGTGGATGTGAGAAAGACCCCCCCCCCCCTCTGCCGCAGCACACTCTCCTTCTGCGGTTTCCTATTAGCACAGGAATGGAGGCTTACAGTCTGGCTACTGGGCACAGCGGGTCAGTGCTCACAGAGCTCTGTTTGTTCCCTGGCCTGCAGGGCTCCCAGGGTAAGCCTGGCTCCAGAGGGGGAGACAAACAAAAAGGCACCACTGTCTCAAACGCCGAAGCTGCTCTCCAACACATTCGTCTTTTCTACTCTATGGGGGACAATTCTCTTCTTAGGAGAGCAATGGCAAAAGGAAACACGTTTTCTTTTTTTAAAACAGGGCCTCAGGATAGCAAATCCGCTGTTGTTCTGAGCTATGTATTTTTTTTTCTCAGTTTAAATGCCATTTTGAGTTGTTGCTTGTGGTGATGTTTTTTTTTCTTCTTCTTCTCTTTGCTTTGTGTTTTTCTTCTCCTTTTGTCTAGCTTAGACTCAGAGCTCTTTGTCTTGTGCTGCTGTATCAACAAATTCTGTGTGAAACTCAAGGAAACCGCTGACAGCAAAAGGCACATAACAAGTCATGTTTGAATTCCACATGCAGTTCCCAGCTATAGAGATTGTCTATAGTCCTTTTGAAACACCGCTGGTGCAGGTATAAAAAATCTCTCTCAATTAAAATGAATAACCTCAAGGTGTCTCCTATGTCCTTATACATTGTCTGCCTGTGATTTCTAAAGAAGGACATAATGTGCAGGGGACTCCTCCAGCTGCTGTCAGGTCACACATTCACTGTTGTGCCGCAATCTTCCGTCCAAGTATAACTCCATTATTGAGGGGACTTTAAAATGGGAGCTGTGTGACACACAGCAGGATGATTTAGTTTAATGACCATGGCAGTGACAGTACTGTGATGGAAATTGGACTCCCCCTGCAAATTTACATCACTTGAGGGTACTTGGGGGTTCTTTCAGCGGCTGCACTCCGGAGCACGAGCCATCAGGAGGTCCTGGATATGTCATGCTTGTCACCTTCCTTTAAGTGCATCTGCAGACGTGGGAGAGGGATTAATATTATATTGCCTACGGAAGCACAGAGGCCGTCTTATCAGCACTGCAGATGTGATAAGCACCTCTACCCCCATAAAACCAGGAGCGATCTCCAAGCAGAGAGACAAGGATCTCTTTGTGTTGTTTCCTCACACAGCTTCAGAGTTTCATCGGAGCTTTAGTGGCCGATATGGTGCAATTTCACATCTGTTGTAATTTGATGTGCCTGGATCACCCTCTGTGAAATCATCTTGATCGCAACATGGCTCCTTTCAATTATTTAGAAAGTTGGCATATGGCTTTAAAGATCGTAATCAGATTTCTTTTGATTTTGAGGTATTCAGAATAGCCTACACCACAAGCGCCCCAAAGGAAAGACTCTGTGATCATGTTATTTGGTAGCTTAGCATCCACACACTTTTCTTTTCATAGAAGAAATTATGGATTTATTTATTTCATAAAAATGTCACTTTTATGAAAATATTTTCCATCATTGCCATGACACTCATTTCACATTAGTTCACATCAATGCAGATGTCAGTGGGCACAAATTGCATTGCCCTCAAACTGATTCTGAGCTGTGAATTGAAGTTATGGCAACCGTTGCTGTCACTTCAGTTTTATCAGAAAAGCACCCAGTGGAACCATGGAAACAAGATGTGGCATAAAAAGCATCTACATCAAAGCCAGCATATACTGTAATTAAAATTTATTGGAGCCTACTCAGTCAGAAAAGGTACATGATCTGCTGAGCCTTTGGATTCAGTCCCATACCTTTCATTAAACATAGTACAGCGCATTAAGCTTTGCTATTACATGATGCAAATATGGAGGAGCTCATTTGTGAATCCGTTGCTGCTAACAGGAATGTGGTGTGTTCCAGTTCCATCCGGTTTTACCAAAATGAAAGACGCAGCCTACAGAGGAAAAGCACCTGTTTCTATGACAAATATTTTGCCTGGATGGAAGTTTAACATAAAGCCATGAAAAAAAATAATTATATAGATAGGCCTACTCATACTAATCATCGTGATATGTAGCTCATTCTAACAGGCATAGTTTTTCAGGCATCATTTGGATTAAAACTGAACATTTTCATCCATAACTGTAAAGAAGCTGAAAGTCTGGAGACCTTGTCGGCCTTTAAAAATGAAGAAGAGAAAAGACATGCTCCCTCCCAAGTGTTACGTGTTTTCTTACACCAAGCCTAAGATGCGTGCCACCCACCAACGACAGGGCATAATTACTCTGCAGGCCACCTGGCATCCCCTGTAGTTGTACGGCCAGGGCCAGTGTCCACGCAGAGGGTCGCATATCCTCTGACAGTGGGTGTAGCTGCGTTGGCACTCTGAGCAGCAGATTCCTTGGTGGTCTAACATGGTGTCAAAGGTCATGGCTCCTTCCTCTCCGGGTCCTCCGCCGCGCTGCAGATTTGGAAGCAACGTTGACTTTTTTTTTTTACCTGCACCCAATTGCGATTCAAATTCTTTCAAAAACTTTTTATCTTCCCAAACGGCTACAGTTATTTTAGGCATTTTAATACTGTCATTTTAATTCAGTCAAAAACTCAGTGTCAACAACTGCAGCTGTTACACCAATGACCTGCGATGGGACACCTACTCAACAGCTGCGGCCGTACATTAGAGCCGGCAGAGGTAAGTACATTTTATTCTTCTATTTTTGAACAAATAAGTTGGGCATTTAACGCAGGGTGTTATGAAGTCATCTGAGAAAGTGTTGACAAATCAGAGAAACTTCACTTCCCAATGTTGCTCTAAGGGTTGCTTTAGGGCTCAGCAAAGGCCTCTTGTGAGTTAATCAAAAATGCACCAGCTCTTCTGGAGCCTTGTTGATCATAAACAGTGTTGTTGACAAAGTTGGAACTTACATGATAAGGGTTTTCGGGATTGTATGCTGACCCCGCAGCAGAGTGGGGCCCCTCCTCTTCTTCCCCCACTCTGGAGGTGTCGTCCTCCGTGTGACTCACCGGGCTCCTCTCCTCGGCAGCTGTCTCTGTCTTCTCCATGTTAAACTGCCGTTTGGCTCGCTGTGTGTCTCTCTTTCTCCTCTCCCCATCTGTTACAGCCGCCACAAGAGGCAAGAGTTTTGGGTCAACATCCACAAGACGCAGTAAATGTCCTCAGAGCTCAATCCTACATAGCTGGGGCCGTCTCCGATGTCCTGAATAATTGAATTAGCAGCAGTGATTTCAAGCAGTCTTGCATATTTCACGATCATTCTTTTTTAATACAGGAACGGAGCCTTTTTTGGTGTACTCTAAATGTAGAGTATGTTCAGGATGTTTCAAGTGTTTCACCAACTTCTCAGACAAGCCTGTGCATTTTACAAGTGTGTCAGCAGATAAGCAGGTCAATCACAACCTTGAATAAACTATGAAAGAATGTACAATAGCACTAGAAAATGAATGGAACATGCTCTGTAAAGCGGGCCAGTTATGCAGACCGTGTGGCATAGAGTGAAGCAATACTGTGTTAGTAATATCAATAGTGTTAGTAATATCATGAATGAAGAGACCAAGGCAACCTTTCGAGTAGAGCCAGTAGATGGGAAGATTGGTGCAAAGACCCAGGATTTTGTTGCTCAGAAAGCTGGTGTCCTTCAGCGGCTGTTCTGCAGAAACCCACACGAGGAACTGCTCCCCAGAACTCACTGGAATGACTTCATCAGTCTGGCAAGAAGAAATAGATTCAATTCAGTTCAATTTAATAGTTCTCTATTTGCAAAGTCTAAATGACAAATAATATGAATGTCCATGAAATAGAAAAATGAATGAGCATATTTTTGCTTTGAACCAGGTCACTTATTTTTTTTCCACTTTGCAAAATTCTCTGTCCGGTATTGTGCGTATATATACCATGTCAAACATCTGCGACTCTTTGTTATGGGCTCCCATGTGTGGAAGATGGGATTTGATTTGGGATTTTATATAGCACTTTTCTCCTCCAAGGAAGCGGATTCCGGTTATTCCCTGCAACGAATCACAGAGATGCCATGTTTACACTCACAGATTTACCACTTTGCTAAGCACACACAAAGTCCCAGCTGAACTAAGGCAGGAGGAGACGACAAGGACAAACTCACTCACAATTTGAAAGTCATGGATCTCCACGGCTTCGTCAGCTCCACTCCCAGTTTTAAATCTCTGCAGGTTGTTGTCTGAATCAATTTCCACGGAGCCCTGCCTCACCTCCCCGTTGATGTTCATACTGTAACGAACGTTATAAACCTGGCAGCATTCAAGGTGGAACGTTGCAATCAACGGATTAGTCGAGTTATGCCAAACAATGAAAATGAGATCCAGAAAAACAAGCTTCCTTCTTCTAAAGCAATCCGTCTGCACGGTGAATTTGGGTTGTTGCTTCTCTTCCTAAAATCCCGTGTCTTTTTAAGCACAGTGAGAAATGAGCAGAGCACCAAAGGACTTTCTGTCGCAGACCTTAATGGGAATGGCTCCCTCACAGGCAAAAACATTACACTTTTATTTTGTCAAAGATGGAGCAGAGAAACTGAAACAATTTACGCCATGAAACAACAAAAGATGCATCTTCACTGTCAGAACTAACAAACACGATTGTTAATGGAGCATCCCAAAGCAGCCTTGCATATGCCTTCAATATCTATTAGGGGGATTGTAATCGTCAGTGGACACTTACGTTTTTATTGCTCACCCTCCACAGGTAGAGAGCGGCCATCGATGCACACAACATCAACACTGCAGCGACGATGAGGGCGATGGCTCCAAATCTCAGGAAGCGACTGACCGCAGCAGAGACGGGTGTTCTGCTCTGTTCCTTAACAAAGTCCCGAACATGCAAAATGAGTAAGTGTGCAAACAAAAACAAGAAATCTGAGAACATTGCTGGATATCAACAGTTTGCAGAATACGCAGGTTCGAATTAAGTCATGGAAGTCAATTATAATACTACGAAATATTTCTTAAGCCTGCATCTTACCGGAGGCGTGGGGTGTTCAAAACAGCCAGATCCATGAGTGGTACTTTGGATTTTCTCCATATTCTCTCCTATGATCCCCTTTGTAATTCTTCCTCTAATGCTGTTGCCTCTCGATGGAGAATCAGGTTATCCACCGAGAGGCTTTTTGATATGTGAGTGTGAATGACGCACAGTTGATATAAATTCTTTGAGCTAAATTCTTCATCTGAATGTTACCTGCAGGTCCAGTTGGCCTTAAGCAAGGAGGCCATCCTGTGGTACCAAACTAAAGCCAGACATTTGAGGCAGTTCTGTGCACAGGCGCTGATGTAATGGTTTGTACAAACGTTGTGAACTGATATGACAGTCAGTGTTTGGAAACATATAATTGCTGACTTTAGTCAGTGATGCTTTATACCTTGCATTTATTCACTCACCTTAGGTCAATCAATTCATCTGCAGACAAGTCTGTGATGAGCAGATTCCCTACATGTAATCAAACCTGTATGCAGGAGCGAGTCCACTTTGGTTGTTATATTACGACAAACAGCTAAAATAGAGCACTGAGACGTGTGCACAGCACACACGCTGAAAGGACTTTTGTCAATTTTTGGCTTTCTAGATTGACGGTAGGCAAAAGATATTTTTGAGGCCAAGGTTACTGGGTCCTTATCATAACTTAGAAAGGAGAAACAAAGTAACAAAGAGATTAAAATTACGCAGTGCTGCTGTTGCTTGGAAACAGATTGAACCACGTATTTGGATAATTGGTTAGCCAGAAGGCAATCACAAAAGGTGAGGGGATTCTTTGACCTTCTAGAAATATGTAATTGTAGGAGCATTTGATTTGAAATGTAGTATTTGTATGAGAAAGAAGCCGTAACTACATTGTTATGAAAAGAATATGATATTGGCTAAATCTAAAGAATATGAAATTGGCAAATAAAATGCATTCTGTTAATTGAGGTCAGTCAGTGTGCTTTTGAAAATATACTTATACTATGAGATCACATTTGAGAACTGTAAGCCCCGATATCTCACACTTTAAACTGTTTTTTAACTGTTTATTTGTGCAACAGCAGGACAAAATCTACCACAAACATGGTAACCTTTCATATTGATTGTTTTCCACAGCAGAGAGGCCCATTGCAGCCTTACATGTCCATATGTCTAAATAGTAACACATGCTCTTCAAAATTCATAATAAAAGTTCTTCTTTACAATGAATCATTATGAAAAATATATTATCAATGTACAAAATCTTGCATATTACACATGATACAATGAACAGTCATATATGAGCCAATAGACACACTGAAAAGCACTGCAACAATCCAACATAGATTCAAATAAGACAAAAGTACTGTACAGTATAAAGACTGGATCCCATTTTAATCAAGTCTGATCTTCAGGAGTTTGTGTACTCTGGAATGGACATCTCATCCGCCTCCTGTATTCTGGCCGGCGTCGATGGACCAACGAGGATGTAATCAAATTCCTGGTGTTGGACTTTTTCGTACACACTTTGCAGCCCGTTGGTTTTGGGTATGAGAGCTGGATAGTAGTTCTCCCTCGCGGTGTTCCGGGGAAGTGAAGCAGTCTTGTTGAAGGTGGACAGATGCGGCCCGCAGGCCATACTCGTGTTGGGCCTCGTCGCCGAAGGGCTCCAGCATCGGTCCGAGTGTCCCAACACTTTGCATTCGCTCGTACATGCCCAGAGACCTGTGGGAAACAGCAGGCCTGTCAGGATACCAGAACATTTGCTGAACCACGCGGTTGAAGATGTTTGGTGCTGGAAGATCCCGGTGATCCCAGGTACAAGATCAATCATAATGTGTCCAGTGTATTGGAAAACACATTCATGGTACAGGGTGCTATTGGTGCAGCACATTTTACCACACTGAAAGAAGCAAGAAGGAATCACCCCCTCAAATTTGACTTATTTCTCTGAATTTCCATCCAATTCTTCTCAAATTGATATTTGAAATAATGATATTTTGAGACTCACTGTTTGTTGGCGGCGACTCTTTTTTGTGCGCGTCTCCACTTATGTCAGAATCACTATCATTGAAGTCGCTGTCTCCTTTCCCGCTGTCCTTGCCACTGATGTGTGGATCTCGTGCTGAGATTGTTGTGAATGAATTACCCTTCCATATTGTTATTGGTCGAACCGTTTCTTTGCCATATCCCGGTAGCGTTGAGTAACCCTGCTACAACACATTCAACACAGATTGTGATTTAGTTCAGATTCAGAAAAGGGCAGTCGATGTGATAAAAACATTTGAATATGTCTAAGCAAAGAATGCCTTACCTTCAATTTACCTTCCGTCACCCTGCTGTTTGAGTCAAAGATGACTGCTGTCTGCCTGCCATCCTTACAGCCCGTCTCTGCTGCGTTGCTGCTGGCCAATGGTGTAGTCTCTGGAAATGGGTGGGCATCAAAAACTTTCCCTTTGTGGTTTGCGATCAATGAATCAACATGACCACTTTCCACGTTCTCCACATTCGGTGTGTCTTCTTTATCGTCGTAATCTCCCTCCCTTGTCTCTTTTTTCCGGCGGCTGCAAATGGTTGTGATGAGAATAATAGCCAGCAGGAGGAGGGAGCAGCTCCCTGCCAGGACAATGATTATGGCTATGGACATGTCCCATTCAAAGAGCCCCTCGCTGCCATTTTGAGCCAACGAAGGCATACTGGGTAGACTTCCTTCGATGAAGCTGAAGTGTATAATGGCAGTGGAGGTAAGTGCCGGGGATCCATTGTCACTGACTGAGACGGTGACTTTGACATTGTCTGCGAGATCATAAGTCAGCTGTCGGCTCACATGCACCTTCCCGGTGTCTTTGTTGATAGAGAAACCCAGGTGTCCGCCCTCTGTGATTTTATAGGACAGCTGAGCATTCATGCCTTCGTCGGCGTCTGTGGCCTTTATCTGGGTTACCACATAACCCGCAGGGGCATCTTTAGGCAGGAAGATCTCAGCAGATCCTTTGTAAAGGGACGGCGTTATGATAGATGGTTGGTTGTCATTCTGATCAGCTATTTTTAGTCTGATGACAGCCGTGCCACGCAGCTGTGGTGACCCCCCATCACTGGCTTGGATGTGTATGTCTATCACTTTCATCATTTCATAATTAAAACTTCTGAGCGCATAAATCGAGCCGGACACTGAGTTGAGAGACACGAAGGTGTTCACTGGGGACCCCATGATCACGCTGTCCACCAGTCGGTACGCGATTTTGCCGTTATTCCCAAGATCAGCGTCACTGGCCTCCACCGTGGTGATGTAGGCGCCCGGGGCGTTGTTTTCCGCCACAGAAACTTCATACACGGCTTTGGTGAAGTGAGGGGCGTTGTCGTTCTCGTCGCTGAGTCTGATGGTGTACTGCGTGATCTTCCTCAGCGCGGGCGATCCAAAGTCCTCGGCCATGACCGTCAGGTTGTACTCGCTGATCCTCTCCCTGTCCAGGGCCGCCGCCGTGACGATCATGTAGCTGTCTCCGTAGGCCTGTCGGAGTTTGAAATGGTCGTGGCCGTACAACGTGCAGTGGACCTGGCCGTTGACGCCCGAGTCCCTGTCCAAGGTGCTGATCAGCGCCACCAGACTGTCCCTCTCCGCCGCCTCGCTGATGTGCGCGGCGCCCGTGGTGATGGAGGTCATCGGGGTGATGCTGATTTCTGGGACGTTGTCGTTTACGTCCGTGACGTGAATTATGATTTTGCACACCGAGGGGGTCGGGTTGGGACCCAGGTCGGTCGCCTGCACGTCCAGCTCGTAGGTGTCCTTGTCCTCGAAATCCAGAGCGCTCCTGAGCGTCAGGCGGCCCGATTTGTTATCCACTCGGAAAAGTTCTCGGATCTCGTGAGAAACCTGTTTTCCGAAGCCGTAGACGACTTCTCCGTTCGAGCCCTCGTCGGCATCAACTGCGTTCAAGTCCAGTATGAACGCGCCGACCGGTGCGTCCTCCGGCAGGCTGACGGAGAAACTGCTCTGGTCAAAAACGGGGCTGTTGTCATTAAAGTCCGTCACTTTGATAGTTATCTTTGTTGAACCCGATCTATACGGGTTCCCTCCGTCCGTGGCCACTAGCTCCACGGTGTATGAAGACTGGGTCTCTCTGTCCAGCTCCTTCATTAGCACCAATTCCGCATATTTAACCCCATCCGCTCTCAGGAGCACATCTATGGTGAAATGACTGTTGACAGATATTTGATAGCTTTGGATGTAGTTGGACCCGACATCGGCGTCCGCCGCCGGGTCTAAAGGGATGCGGGACCCCGCTGCTGCGTTCTCGGAGATCTCCACTACATATTCTTTGTTGGGAAACTCCGGAGAGTTGTCGTTGATGTCCTTTATTTCCACCTGCACGTGAATCAATCTGTAGCGGTCGGAGAAATGCACCACGTCAAAGGTGACGAGACACAGCGGAGTGTGTCTGCAGATTCTTTCCCTGTCAATTCGTTCCCCGACCGTGAGTTCCCCGTTGCTTTCTCTCACTCTGATGAATGAGTCGTTGAATTGCTTCATCATCCTGAAATTGGTTTTGGAGGAATGAGACAGACTCAGTGACATGTCCTTGGCGAGGTTTCCGATAATTGTACCCGGCGCGTCCTCCTCGCTGGTCTGGTACCGGATAGTGTTTCCCTCGCACTCAGCCACTGATGCAAATAAGAACTGATGGATGGAGAATATAAAAATCCACCGGAGCCAATAAGTCATACATTCTCCCTTCATCATCTTCTTCATAGTAATCCGTTCCCCCTGATTGCGTGCTGAAAACAGATGGGACCAGTTCACCTGCGGAGCGAGCTCTCCATCCAGCTCCCACTTTCATCAGCTGAGCTGCGGAGTGAAAGTTACAGCGTCTCCTCGCGCGCAGCAGCCAGTCAGACAGACGCGCTGGTTGCTTCGCCTTCAACACCGCTCGAAACTCTGCAGTGGCGGGTGGAGGGGGTTTATACAGCTCCTCATGCTAATGAGACAACGTGTGACCAATCCCTTGCTCTGGAATTAAAAAATATCCCCTCGTTGGAAAAAAAAGAAGAAGAAGCTCTAAGCCTGTTTTTGAGAGTGCGCGCTGAAGGAAGTTGCAAAATAGAAGAAAAGGGCAGAACGATGTGGCATTTTGCTTGAAGATGGTCCCTGCACTTGTTATCGTCTTTTCACAGCCAGCACCGAGTGATGGTATTATTTAGAAAAAAAAATCCCTTTTCATCTTTTAATGTTTAGTTTATTGTGCCTGAGCGTGATGCATGTGTGGTGATCGGAAAATAAAAAGCATCCAGTGCTTCAGAAGGAGTAGTGATGCTTAATCGATCACTTTATATTGCAATACTGAAATACATTGTGGGGTCTTAAAAATCATCGCACACGACCGAAGCAGTAAAGGACCACTTTCTAAAGCCTGACTAAGAAATGTATCAAGACGTTGTTTGTCTTTCCAATAGACCTCACATCCTGCATTTCACCTAATGGAAGAGACATATTTCCTAATATGGGAGAGACAAGTTGCAAATACAACATGCTTTTCTGGGTTTGTCTACAACCCCCCACAATGACAGCATGATGTCCAACTGTTCCACATTCCAGATAACATAAACATTATTAAGATTAACACTGAGAAGACTGTGAAAAGCATCTAACCTTTACCTTGTTCATTCAACTATATTGCCAAACGTATGTGGACAGCACTGTGCACAATAAGACAAAGCTGTTCTTCAACTGGTGGGGATTTCCTGTTTCAACACCATGAGGAAATGGTTCATTAATGCATTCATATTTAACAGGGATGAACTTTATTGCACTCACTTTAGCCACATCCAGCACTGTTGAGCAAATATGGACATTGGATGGTCCCAAAATTGGATGTCTGCATCTTATGCAACAACGCAAACAGAAAAAAAGAGACAAATAAAGTTTGAAATGTCAGATCTGTAAGAAAAAAACAAAACTCTTTTGACTTTGAAAACAAGACCATAACAAAAGGAATTTTTAATGGTGCTCTAAAAATAAAGAGGAGAGGAACAGGGAGATTTGCTTGCTGGGTGATATGCCATGAATTAACGTCCATGGTTCTCGTTTTGGAATTACTTATTAAACAATCAACTGTGTTTTAAAGTAATGCTTGGTATTCCCACTGTTTCGTTCCTCGGGCTGTATACATCTTCTGAAATTCAAGTTGGGACACTATGCACATACCATACAACCGCACAGCCTCAAAATACAACCACGTAAAGCCGACACGCTGCTTGCACATTAAACTACTGTATTTGATGGCAGCACAATTTTGTTGATTTTGGCATAGTCTATCTAAAACCTGCTAAAGCTAATTTCCCATTTTTTGGAGATGTGATCATCTTGAAAGGATATCTTTACAAAGGATGTTTTAATGTCTTCATGCCCATCCTTCCTGTTTAGTCGCTCTGAGCTCATTAGAGCTGCTAATGTTTTTTTCTCCAGCTTAATTATTTTTTGCACTATTCCTTGGCTGCGGAGAGCACATAGGGGAAAAAAAACGTAACAATAATTGTTCTAGCCAACATCTGGACGCAAGTCACATTTTGTCTTTGACTATTTACTTCTTACGTCTCTCTTTATTGTGTATCTTAATGGAGCATGGAGGAGAGTTGTTGACAGTTTGTGTCTTCTGTCTCACAGTTCATTAGTAAGCCATGTTTTCCACAATGTGCAGTGGTTGAAGCATTAACAATGATCTGAAGCACAGTGCTAACAGTGTAGCAAAAAATCTATGGCAGAAAACATGATGAAGTGGTGTTTAATTTGTACTGTCACTAAGAGGTTCAACTTAGAGGTGCTTAAATGAGGGTGTAGTTTTGAAAAATGGTGGAGATAACAACTCGGTGTTGTAACATTTTTGTGTGAATACTGGTTAAAATAAAAGCAATACTTTCAATGGTTCGTTAACATGTGCAATGTTGCAAGTAGTGACCGTTTTGCCCTTATGCTCACTTTCATATCCAGCATTTGCAGGCAGCTATAGAGCAAAAAACACAACAACAACAAGAAACACAGACACAAACAGTACCTGGTGAACACAGTGGGGTATTTATCAGAAAAAGAGACGGGGGTTTTTATATGGAGTTGGTGAAAAACAGACAGAGCTGCAGTGGAGAAGGATTATTGGACTTACATTCATCAGGCGGAGACAAACACGACTCCCAGTGAAGGCTGATGTTCAATATCTGCTTGATGTGTAAGTAAGCAACATAATACCCCGATAGTAAAAATCATTTAAATATATCGTATGCTAATTCTGGTGGAAATCATATTGTAGTAGAAAGCTGGTAATCTATCATATACATACAAATGATGAATAGATAGATAGATACTTTATTTATCCCTCAAGAGGGAAATTCTGTTATAACAGCAGCATGTACAGGGAAAAAAATATAATTAAAAGATACACATTACGTACACATTATATACAATATAATAAGATAGAAAAATATTAAATTATTAAATAAAATAAAATAAAATAAACTGAAACAAAATAATAACCTTCAAGAAGAGACAATAATAATCATTTGTAAAAGGAGAAGAGGAAGAGCAGCAACATCACAGCAGTACAGGGTTGTTATTGTCATTATTTGGCCAGAGATGATTTATTGTAAAGTGTTATTGCACTGGGCAGGAATGACCTCCTGTATCGGTCCTTGTGAGAGCGGAGCTGAAGGAGTCTGTTGGAGAACGACAACGTCCGCTGTCCCTGTAGCAGGTGGTGGTCAGGATTATCCATTATGGATAAAGGTTTCTTCAGTGACCTCCCCTCCACCACCTTTTCCAAGCTGTCCTGTTTGCAGCCATTGATGGAGCCGGCCTTCTTAACAAGTTTGTTAAGTCTGATTTTTACTTTAATGAGAAGAAAGGTGATCACGGATTCAGTGTGGGCGGTTTCCTTTGGATTACATTAAACCAGGTCAAATGGCTGCGGTAATGGAAGGATTATTAACTACAGCATTAGTTTATACTCGGACACAATGGAGTTTATGTGAATTTATGATTAGAAAATGTTTGTTAATAGGTGAGAAGGTTAATTAGTAAGCAGTTGTTTTCGTCGTGATGTTCTCAGGTGTTTTTGCAGCGATGGATTTTCTGCTCATGTCCTGTCAGAGACTCAAGCTGCAGTGTGCTCTGATATGAGCACATTGATCTAAGGTTGAAAATGTAAATAACACACAGGGCAGAATTTGATACTTCATTTGTTTTCATATTCTAATATTTCAGCTCAAAGTCACTTAGACGGGATGATGAATCACTGCAACGTGAACTCAGGATTCAAGCACCTTTTAAAAGTATATTGGATTTTTTTTTACAGCTACTACAACGGTTTTTACTTAGTAATACAAACATGTCTGTATGACAGAAAATCATGATAATGTTTATCATGATTAATGCAGCTATTTCCATCAAAGTTAGAGGAAAAGTGTTCACAAGCCGAACATATTCACAAACAGAGCAAAGGAAGCAAGTGGCAAAAAGGAAAATGGATGAGAAAAAGAAAAACTGTAGCCGGGAAAGATATTTAAAATTTACTGTTGGCCCACAGACACAATTCCATATTTAATGGGATTGTAAATGCATTCAGTTTCAGCGGATGCCTTTGCATTTTAAGTTCTCTAATCACTCTAGTCCACAATGTGCCTGAAGAAATGCCATGATAGTCTGCATTTGTGGAAGGCACTTAGACTCGCGTTCCGTTACAAAGATTAGAAATCAGAGGCAAATTATACCGTAGTGGAGCTCAACTGAATATTGGTTGAGCGGGAGATCGCTTGCCTTAAAGAACTCCAGACAGACGTCTTCTTATTCTCTGTGCGTCTGTCTGACATTTTCGTATTTGTTAGCAAATTGTGTATACTTGATTATTGTGCTGCACTTTAATTCAGTGTTCTTCCTGCTCGGAAGGTATTATTAAAAGGAATAGTTTGACCTTTTTGGAAAAACGTATTAATTTTCTTTATGAATGGTTTCTAACAAACACAGGACTATTAAACCAGGAGACATCAATTTGTGTCATGAGTGTGTCTAAAAGTAAATGCTGACATATTTTCATTAACTTCTGTAAATTGAATGCCATTATCTTGAGACAAAATACGATGGTGCACTAAGCTTAACCAAAGGATTTCATTGTTATCTGCATCTTTCTTTCAACCAAAGTCAAAGTCTCCTCCTATTCAACCTTGTCCTTCGTGTTGCATTGGTACATATGCTGCCCTTGTCTGCATAATTGCCCCATTGTATCGCCACAAGTGACACACTTCACAGGGGTTTCAACCTTCACATGAAAGTTGTCTTTAAACACACCATGCAGTGAGGTTATTGAGTCAACACTCATTTCACGTCTGTGAAGTCGGTCTTACTCACCAGGGCCATGGATCTGGACAATAGAAATCTGTGGAATCTGATGTGGAGGGAAAAGAGGTTGACTGAGTCTTATAGACACGAGAAGCTGTATGGATCGTCTTAGCTTATTATGGGCGGTTGAAATGCACTCTTCAAAACAAGCTTTTAAATACAGGCTGAAATCTCAGATGGGCACGGATCCCACGGGCAACATCAGATCTTTTTGTTCTGAAGATGCTCTCTCCGATGATTCATTCTAAACATCAAAATAAAACTCGAGCGCTTTCGTATGCGAGAGTAAAGCCTCAGACGTCACATGGGGGTTTCAAACCCCAACGGAAGTCTTAAACTCAGAAATAAGCCAATGTTATGTTTTATTGATTGTTTTCCTGGAGTTTGGAGACAATCACGCGGGTGAATATTTCATTTGCCTCTTTATGTGTGGACTGAGAGCTGTATCCCAGTGTTCCAGATGTCTCTCCAGACGTGTACCATAGCAGACATAAACAAAGTTATTAGATGAGCGCGACGTGATTCAGAGGGAAATTCAATCCTGGGAGCTTTGGG